ATAGCGATGCTAACCTCAACTCAGATGGGTGCCTTGCTCAGTGAATGGTGGCTTAAACCACCCTCTCATGACTGAGCTAAGACTTCATGATGGGGGGAGCTGGGCAGGGTGGCCCACATCTTTAATTCGGACAGCCAGGGCCACACAGACAGACCCTGTCTCAAAACAAAACAAAGAAACAGAAAAGATTCCTCATGGCCATCCCCTCACAGCTCACCTCACAGTGATAACTCTAATGTGAGCATTGCTCTAAGAGAACAACTATGTGCTCCGTTAAGTCATAGATACAATTCAAGATCTCCATCTTAGTAGGGCTCATGAACAGACTTCAGAATCGTGCATGAAGAAGGTGGCTAGGAATGCTTGTTTAGGCATACCCTCACAAAGCTGCTAGATCCTGTCTTGGAATAAGGCCCCAGCATTTTACACAGAGCGAATCATTAGACATTTAAATGCCTTGTACCCTGGATGTACCACAATAAGGGAGAGGCTCTTCATTAAGAGCTTTTTCAAGCTGGGTGGTGGTGGCACATGCCTTGAACCCCAGCACTGGGGAAGTAGAGGCAGGTGGATCTCTGTGAGTTTGAGGACAGCCTGGTCTACAGAGTGAGTTCTGTGACAGCCAGAACTACACAAGAAACCCTATCTCAAAAAACCAAAAAAAAAAAAAAAAAAAAGATTATTTTCAAATATGGCTGAAACCCACTTTGAAGAGGCACTAAAGTCCTTCAGTATTCTTTGCAACTGTTTTCAGGAGGTAATGTTTTTGGAAAATATTCAAGACTGTACCGAGATGTGCTGGGAAAGTTATGTGCTATGAGGGAGTCATTAGAGTCCGGCTGAACTGAGACACCCACGGGGATTCCTGTGTGTGGGAAGCTGTAAAAGGCAGTTTTCCCTGAGCCCGAGAGACAGTGGTGATGACCTCCTCCAGACCAGGAGATTGATGGTGGTCCTGTGGTTGATCTGGAAACTAGGATAAAATCAGAGCTAACCACACTGCATGTCAGTATACTTCTGCCCATGAAGGGGCTGTGTTATCTGCATGGAGTAACTTGGATAGGTAGTAGCTATGTGTATTAGTCCAGGTTACCGGTTAACTGTGCAGTCGTGTGTATGTAGCTGAAGGTTCCTGTCAGGCAGACATTGGGAGTGCCTGTCAGGAGCCCTCCTGAGTGAGACCAGAACCAACCCCAACAAAAGAGGCTCAAGAGAGATCTCTTACCCCTTCCATCAGGACGTTGCAGTAAGAAGGTACTCTCACAGTCTCCCACAGACTGACAGTGGCACTGAATGAGCTGCCTTTCCTCATGGCTTTCCTGCCATGATGGTCCCAGGGGTTCTGCTTCATATCCTGTGTTCTGAGCTAGCTTAATGAGCAGTCACCTTCTCCAGTGTCAACAGTCATTATGGCAGAAGGAGACAGGCATGGTTGTAATGAGCCCTGCCTGCTCATACTTCCAAGTATCCCTGTCACTTGCCCCAGATTAGGTAGTTAATTTGGACCCTCAACTTGCCTGGATTTTGAGTTGCCACAGAAATATACCTTTGTGTGTATCTACAAAGGGGTTTCCAAAATGTTTAACTGCAGAGGAGATGCCCACCCTACTTCAGGAACCACCATGCCACAGGCTGGGACACTAGCTTCATCCCTCAGTGCCTCCTAACAACCTCAGGATCCTGCCCCATGCCTCACCGCCATGGGATTGTATCCTTAAACTGTGAGCCAAATTAAGTCTATTCATATTTACATGGCTTTTGTCAGAGTGAGAAGAAAAGCAACCATATGCCCTTTCTCAGTCAGCTAGGAGGGGTCTGGGAACAGAGTGACTGCAAGAAACCTACTACTGTGTACCTCAGAAGAACACGTGTCCTTTGGGGGCCCCAGGACAACTGACTATTTGATCACCATCCAGGGCTGGAGGGTAGATGCCCCACAGAGAGATTGTATGTGGTCAGGGGTAGGAAATGCTTTTACCTGCTCAGACCCCTGTAATCCCACCCCCCCACACACAGATACTCACAGACAGAGACATAGACACACACAGACAAACACACACACACAGATAGACACTAACAGACAAACACACACACATACACCAGAGACAGACACAGAGACAGATGAACACACAGAGAGACAGACACACATAGACAAACACACAGAGACAGAGAGAGAGAGACAAATACACACAGAGACAGACACACAGAGACAGACAACTACATACAGAGACAGGGAGACAGACAGACAACCACATACAGAGACAGACACACATAGACAATCACATACAGAGACAGATAGACGCACAAACAGACAAACACACACAGACACACATGCTTGCACACACACAGACAGACAGACACATATACACAGAGACAGACAGACACACAGAGACGAGACAGACACACATGCACACATACACACAGACACAGACAAAGACACACAGAGACAGAGAGACAGACAAACACACAGAGAAACAGAGAGAAACAGATATACACACAGACAGACACACACATACACACAGAGGACACTAGGCTTTCATTTTTTGAAACTTATTTTGACTAGACTTTTTTCCTTTGTCATGTAAACTCAAGCTGTCCTTGAATTCATTTTGTAGCCTAGAATAACCTTGAACTTCTCTGATTCCCTGTCTACCTCCAGAAGGTTGAGATTATAGGCATGGGTGCTGGAGAGCAAGCCCAGGGTCTCATGAATGCTAAGTAAGCACTCTATCAACTAAGCTACATCCCTAGCCCTATTCTGACTAGATTTTTAGAACTGGGTGCCCGGAAGGCTGGCTCAGGCCCCTGCTGTGGACAAATTTGAGGTGCACGAGGAAAACCTACAGGGGACCTCGGTCAGTGGTCCTTCCTTCCTGGCCTGGGCTCCCTGGGTGGGCTGTGTCTGTCTGCCTGCAGTCCTGCCACGCAGGGACTGTTTGCAGACTTGAGTGGGAGCCTCAGGCCAGCACATTTCCATGTGAATGTGGCGTGGGTCTCAGCTGCTATTTTCAGATTCCAGTGATCTTAGCCACTGTTGGATGAAAAGAAGACAGTTCTTAAACAGACACGGTACGCCTTTCCCTTTAAACTCTGGCAAAGTCTTCTCCATTCATGAACTCAATTCCTGCTAAACTGCTCTTAATAGTAGTGTGTGTGTGTGTTTTCAGTCTCTAAAGGCACACATCTCCAGGCTCAGCCTGGAGGGTGAAGGAATGTAGGGCAGCTTTTCCCCATGGGCCATGAAAGATTTCCTTCCAGTGCTTTGGTTCATTGAGCTGGAAATGGAACCATCACCTCCTGAGGCTTCTCTCACTGAGTCCCTGGTGGCCATGGGCAGGGAATGCCACTGTCCCATACTAGGAGAAACGATGGGTGAAGCCTCAGAGGGATCCTTCTGTAGGCAGAGAACAGTGGGTTTTAAAAGAATTAGTTTTTTTTTGTTTGTTTGTTTGTTTTTTGTTTTTTTAATCTGAGCTGGGTGGTGGTAGCACATGTCTTTAATCTCAGCACTCAGGAGGCTGAGGCAGGTGAATCTCTGTAAGTTCGAGGCCAGCTTGGTCTACAGAGCGAGTTCTAGGACAGGTTCTAAAGCAATACAGAGAAACATCTGTCTCAAAAAAAAAAAAAAAAAAAACAAAAACAAACAAAAAAAAACCAAAAAAACAAAACCAACCAAACAATCAATCAATCAATAAAATAAAAAACCGATATAAAAAACCCGAACAGTGACTACAAGTGAAGATGGAAACCCAGCGATGACAGCGGACTTCCAGAGGAGCTCAGGGACAGGCCTTCCACCAACTGTTGGTCTGAGAACTTGGTGGTGCTCCACCCTCCCCCAAGAGTCATGGTCTATTGCTGTGCACACCTCGGCAGAACTATCTGAAAGCATAGCACCCCACGATGGGGGATGTCCTTCTGTGTATGTGTTTCTCTTATTGGTTGGTGAATAAAACACTGTTTGGCCTATAGAGGCAGGAAGACAGGTGGGGCTAGAAACAAGGAGAATTCTGGGAAAGGTAGGCAGAAAGATGCCACGGAGGAAGTGGAAGGATAGGACGCACCAGGCTTTCTCAAGTGAGATAAGGCCATGTAGAAACACAGATTTACAGAAATGGGTTAATAATTAAGACAGAGCTAGTCAATAGGAAGCCCTAGCTATCGGCCAACAGTTTATAATTAATATAGTATCTGTGTGTTCATTTGTGGCTGAAGCAGAGGGATCGGGCTGGGAAGAAACTGCCAGCAACACCCCACCTCCGAGAACATGCACCATGAGAACTTGGGCCATGCAGGTCCTGAGGACCAAATGCCCAAGTGCCTCTTCCAGGGTCCAGGTGTGCCGTCCTCACATTCACCAAGTGCTATTTCACCACCAAGGACAGGTGTTGGGATATTCATGACATTCCACAACTTACCAAATATCCAGAGCTGGTGTTCACTGGGACCCTGGCAGCTTTCCGTGTGGAGCCTGGGTATACTCCAACAGGGAGTCCCTTTTCTGTTGCAAAAATCAGCAAAAATGTCTTTGTAATGACTAATATTTTCAGTATGATTCTAGAATCACCAAAGACATGAGCTTCCAGACATGTCTCCGATGAATGTTCTAGATTGGGTTAACTGAAGCAGGAAGACCTACTTCAACGTGGATAGTGCCATTCCATGGCCTGGGCTCTCAGACTGTAAAAAGGAGAGGCCAGCTAGGCATGGGTCACCATATTTTTCTGCTTCCCCATTGCCAATGAGATGTGCCCCCTGGCCGCAAGCTCCTGCCAGCATGTCTTCCTTGCCACGTGAGCCAAAAGAAAATTTCATTCCTTTAAGTACCCTTTGTCAGGCATCCCATCCCAGAAACATGTAAAAACAACGGATACAGTCTCCAGTCTTTAGAAACCCAAATCGATGTTGCCTGTGTGGAGGCTTCTGTTAGCGGAAGGGAGACTAAGATGGAAATAGTCATATATGTTGTACTTGGGCTTTTTTTTTTTTTTAAATAAAAACTCATTTATTTCAAAGAGGAGATATATACAACCAAAACAACAAATGACCACAGAACAATCATAGTTTGTCTTAAATAAATAACAAAATCCCATTTATATCTCTTAAAATCTATATAATACATTATACATTTAAAATAAATAATCCCTATGGGTCTAGAAACAGCCCGGGCATGGGGTAAGAGGAATGGCTGGGTAGGACCCATTGCTCCTGGAACCCAATGAAGCGCCCTTCCCAGCTTCTGTGCTCTCTCAGTCCTGCAGAGGACCGCAGCACATGTTTTGGGACTGGCCTTCCCAGTGTTCCTATCTTATTGGGGCTTATTGCTTCACAGTCATTCACATCTGACATGGCCGGTTTCCTGGCTGGTTCTGAGCATGGGTCTTCGTGACTGCTGGGTGTGGACTCCACCTCTGTTTCTGTCTGTGATCTGGCTTTCTCGAGCCATTCTGAGGCTGTTGACTAGATGCTGGGACATTTGTGACATGTCCTGTCCTTTCATCATGCACATTCAGGAAACAGGACAGCGGGATGGCCCAGCCTCACAGGCTATATAACATTTTGCACCAGATACCTGAGACGGGTGGGCTGCCTGGGTGCTGTAGGCCAGTCCTGCCTGTCACTGTACAGTCTAAAAAGTTCAGTGGCTAGCGGGCATTGTGCACCTGCCAGGCTGGGACTGGCTGGGCCATTGGGCCTCGGCCCATTAAGGCAGTGGGACACAGCCAGGCAGACTCCCCACTGTCATTCTGAGCTCCATGTCTGTCTATCCAGCAAGTCTCAGGGTGGCTTGTGAGTCGCTCCCAGATGCATATGCAAAGACAAGGAGGCTCCCTTTTTATGACAGGTCCTTCCTTCACTTTAGCTTTTCCAAAGATGGGTCCCAGCACTCCAGAGGACTCATGGTCAGTGTTCCTTCAGCCTAAATGCAAAGGATATGGTGACAGAGGGCCACACAGCAGATGCCAAACACACACAAAACACACAGATCCTACCCACTGCCAGCCCTGTGCCCCCCCCTCCCCGGATGCCTTGCTCCAGGAGCTGCCTGGTGGGTGTACTACACGCCCTCCCCATGGCTGGGGAGCCACGGCTCAGAAAACGCCACCAAGAAGGCAACTTCGTCACACTCCCCTCACTGAGCGCGAGGAGAGATTCGTGAAACCACACGCACACAGAGACACTGATTAGACAAGAAAGGAGAGGGACTGTGGTGTGCCCTCCTTGTCAGGCTGCCTGGAGTTGCCTTAACTCTGGAGAGGCCATAGTGGACTTACGGAGCCTGGATCCCTGCAGCTGGTCCTGGACAGCTCAGTTCCTTGTGTATGAGGCGGATCAGGAACTGCACACAAAACAGAGAGCAGACACTGTCACAGTGTGAGGACAGAAGCAGGGGGTAGGCGTGGCCTGTTGAGGCTTGCTGGACTTTGTGGCTCCCCCTCTGAAGCATCCTCAGGCGTATGCCCCATGGAGACACTGCCATCAGAGCAGGGACCAGGCCAGCACCTGCCCTGAGGTGAAGGCTGCCCCTCACTAAGTTCTCAGAATAATACAGATGCCTTCCCCAACACAGGCTTTTAGCACAGACTTCAAAACTTCAAAACAAGATGCTCCAAGTGGAAACAAGACAGATAATGAAGGGGAGGTGGTCCATGATATAGGGCTGCATGGGGGACTCTGGATCCAGGCAAGCAGCTCATGAGATGTGGTACTTGGAGGCTAAAATAGTGTCTCAGGATGCATGGTTTGTAGGGAGTCTCTCTGAGGCCTAAACCTCTGTGTGTGTGTGTGTGTGTGTGTGTGTGTGTGTGTGTGTGTGTGTGTGCGTGTGCATGCGCACGTGTAGATGTTAAGTGTTCGTATAATGCATGCATGTACCATTGGTGGCCTTCCACACAGTGCTAACTGCTAGGCTGAGAGCTATTGGCTTACCTGGTTAGCTTCACACTCTTCATGTGCCAAAAGGCTCAGAGTAGTTTTTCATCAAAGCAGAGTAATGACTGGCTATCACCCGGACAACTCAGGACTCACCCCTCAGTCAGGTTCTGGGGCAGCGATGGAAGAGAACCCTGAGAGGACTCTCAGCTCTGGTGGCAGGTACTTAAAGGCAGCAGGCACCCTTAATTCAAACGGGTCTAGGGTCGGGGGATAGGCAGTGCAGGACTGAGGGACCACTACTCCTGGTCAGCTGCACATCAGGCCTTGGGCCCTGGCTCTTAGATGCCCCAAGTTCAAGATGGAGGCCCATGCTGGGTGGTGGTGGCACACACTTTTAATCCAAGTACTCTGAAAGCAGAGGCAGGTGTATATCTGTGAATTCGGGGCCAGACTGGCCTACAGAGCAAGTTCCAGGACAGCTAGGGCTGTTACACAGAGAAACCCTGTCTCGAAAAACAAAACAAAACAAAAAAGCTGGAGGTCCACATGCATAAGCTAAGAATGGGACCGTCTCTGATGGCCAAGACACTGTCCCAGCACTTGGCTTGGCCCAAGAACAATCACTGTCCAATCGCTGGAAAGTGGTGGGAACAAGGAAATGCCAGAACCAGAGTTAGCGGCAATAGAATTTTGCAGCAAATTGGGACTAACTCCAACTCTAGCTCTAACTACCCAGGGCTGAACTGTCAGCCTGCCAGCACTGATACTCCCACCAAGCACAATGTGTGGCAAGTGCTGGCAGAAGAGGCCTGTGATGGTGAAACCACGCTGCCAAGCAAAAGGAAGAGGGAAGGCAAGTGCTGCCTGTGGGTATGCGACAGCCTGTGTGAGGGGTCAGAAGGACCCACATCATCTTCTGTGCCCATCAGGTGACAGTGACCAGGAGAAAGAAAGGGGACTGCCCATTCCCAATGTCTGCTCCCAAGATGCTGGGAGCCTGAGTGTCATGAGCTGGAGAGAAGACTTTCAGCCATGAGCCTGATCAGTCCCGCTGCCCAGGCGGCAGGAATGTGGTACCCTAGCATCCCCGAGGTGAGGTCAGGTCCCTGAGACCTGCCTGGGAAGAGGCCAAAACTGCTTTATTTTAAGGAAAAGGCACAGGAAAGGGGAAGGACCTATCTGAGCTTTAGGGTTCTTATTTGCTTATGTATAATCACCTTATGCAGCCTAGCTCTAAACTGTTTTCAATGCAGTACTAAGCATGAGTGCAGGGTGTATAGGTTCTACTGAGCCATATCCCCAGCCTTCAGACAGCTAAGGGTGACCCTGACCATCCAATTCTTCTACCTCTATGGCTCAAGTGCCGGGGTTACAGGTGTGCAGGGCCGGGGTTACAGGTGTGCAGTGCTGGGGTTACAGGTGTATGTCACCACTCCCAGATTAATATGGTGCTGGGGATTGAACCTGAGGCTTTGTGCATACTAGGTAAGCACTCTACCAACTGAGCTACATCTCCAGCTTTTTTGGCTCTTCTTCAAGATAGGGTCCATTCTGTAGTTCAGGCTAGGCTTGTAACTTATTGTACATTTTGGGCTAGCCTCAAATGTGTAGCAGTTGTATGCATTCTGAGTGCTGGGATTATGGGCCAGTGAGAGGTCTGTAGGTCCCAAACGGGATAATGGGACCCTAATCCCTTCTTCATTCTCTGTTTTGTTTCCTAGCCACCTGGTGACAAGCTCCTTTCCAGAGGTTAGCCTTGTCATAGGCTCAAAGCAATCCTGGACTGAAATATCCAAAGCTGTGAGCCAAATCAAACCTTTCCAATCTGACTGTGTCCAGTATCTACTATGGTGACTGACACAGCAGGCAGACTAGGGTCTGTCCTGAAGCTCCAGGGCAGCTAACTGACCAGTGCATGGGTGTGAAGCCAGGAGACCCACCAGTAAGGCACAGGCGTCTGCAAACATCAGCATGTAGAACACGTTGCTCCATCCGGAAGGGGAGATGAGCCCTGCCAGCAGGGGACCCAAGGCAGCTCCTGGAACAGGCACACAGATACAATTAAGGACAGCTAAAAAGGGAGACCAACTCAGTGCTGAGGAGGAAACAACTGCCATTAACATCTTCTGGGACCCATTCTAAAAGTAAGCATTGATTTTTGAAATGTCCACTCTGTCTGACACACCATTATAAATGAGCTCGGTGTGGTGGCACATGCCTTTAATCCCAGCACTTGGGAGTCAGAGGCAGAAGGATTTCTGTGAGTTCAAGCTAGCCTGATTATATAGTGAGTGCTAGGACTACAGATACCATGTCTCAAAAAACCAATAATGAAACTATAAATAAATGGACTTATGTAAAGAAATCTCAACCAACAAACATACTCAGATACCTCTGTACTTGGCAAATGCCACTCAATAAATCTGTAAGAAACAGGACTTAGACCCTGCCCACATCAACTGCCTGAGGTGTGGGATAAAGAAAATTCAAGATGAAAAAAAAAAAAAAAAGAAAATTCAAGATGAGCTGGAGAGATGGCTCAGAGGTTAAGAGCACTGACTGTCCTTCCAAAGGTCCTGAGTTCAATTCCCAGCAACTACATGGTGGCTCACAACCATCTGTAATGAGATATGGTGCCCTCTTCTGGCTGGCTGGCATACATGTAGACAGAACACTGTATACATATTAAATAAATCTTGAAAAAAAAAAATAAAAGAAAGGAAGGAAGGAAGGAAGAAAGAAAATTCAAGATGCCTATGAACTCTTTTTGCATTATATTTGTGAGGTTTTTTTTGGCAAGTCTAAAATTATGTCAAATAAACTTTGAAAGCTGTACAAACAAAAGACATCTGCAGGAGAACATTTGCTGCAGTGCCTGGAATATTTCCCTCACAGGGGGCAGGGGATCTGACAAGGAGATGGCTTGTCCAGCAGCTGCATGCTAAGGAGGTTAGGAGATTGACTCCAGGTTCCTGACTGCAATGTAGTGCCCGAGAGCTGAGGTACTTCATTCACACTACTGTCCCAAGGGTGTGTACAGCACACACATTACTCTTTGATCTGATTTGACAAACTTTTTCCATGTCTCGGCATGGTGGCAGGCAAACATCAGCTACTCATGCAAGTTTACTCTGCACACTCCAAAGACCACAGAGCAGACCACAGCTGCATTTTAAAAAGCGCAAATCCACAAAGCAGAGGGCAGAGGAGAGAAAAGCATGTTGTTTTTCTTTTTAAGATGACAGTGGGCACTACCTGGGGATGTGTCCCCATAGCTAGGCTGGCCACGCACATGACATAAGGGGAGGGGCTGCAGCAGGCAAAGGGACATCATTAGCTCCCTCCACCACCTTGGAGTCCAGGTCCCTTCTCATCAGTGACTCAGTGACACCCCACAAAACAGCAGTAGCGGAGCCTCTGGGAATAGCAGACATTATGAAGGGTATGGGGAAGGCATCTAAGAGATAACAGGGACCCAGGGAAAATATCAGCCCCCAAGCAGTCATTAATGTCAAGCTCCAGCAATGGCAAGAACACCCCATGGACAGGAAGATTCCTGAAGATTAGAGGCTGATCTGTGAAGACCAGCCTATCCAAGAGAAAGGACTCTGTGATCACACTAGTTTAGTGGCTTATTCTTAAATACTAAGATACAAAGGGGCAGCTGAGAGGGCCCACAGCTGAGGAAGACCCAGTTGTGACCACATACAAACTGTGAGGAGGGAAACCCAGGGGCAGTTAAATCAGAAGATCATCCCCAGGCATGGAGAATACCATCCTAGTGCACATGGAAAACCAACTGCGATCTTAAGAAATCCTCATTTTTATAGCTGAAGATAAGCTATCAACAACTAATTCTCACCCAACACAGTGCCTGGAGCACCAAGAGGGCAGTAAAAAATAAAAAAACAAAAACAAAAACAAAAAAACAAACAAGAAACCCCAAAACATTAATGAGTGTTGAAAACATGACAGCTAAAATAAGAAGACAAAGGCTGAAAGATAAAGTCAAGGACATCTGTCTGTGAGAGAGAGCAAGAGAGGCAGGAAGGACAAACATAGAAAGGAACAGAAGGAACAGTCTGGAAACCTGACATTTGACTGTTTTCCAGAAAACAAGATAGAATATGGTAGCCAGGGTGCTGGAGAGATGGCTCAGTGGTTGGGAGCCCTAGCTGCTCTTCCAGAAGACCCGGGTTCAAGTCTCAGCACCTACATGGCAACTCACAACTGTCCATAACTCCAGTTCCAGGGGATCTGACACCCTCAAGCAGACATACATGCGGGCAAAACACCAATGCATATAAAATAAAAATTGAAAAAAAAAAAAAGAGAAGAATATGGTAGCTAAACCAAGCAAAGAAACAGCAGTGCCCATCCCCCAAGATGCATGGCCTGCTCTCACATGGAAGCCTGCCAGGGGCAGCAAGGTGGGCAGAGAAGAGGCTTCTGGGTAAGACGGAGATCCGAAGACCCAGAGGAGGAGAGCCAAGTCAGTGTCGAGAGCAGATGAAAGTGACAGCTCATGTCTACCACCAGCAATGGAAACTGAGAGACACTGGGTTCTGGAAGAGGCCCTGATATTAAGAGGAGACAGACCCGCAACACCACAGTCTTACAAGCTCCAGGAATCCTGGATAACAGAAGCAGTGACCGGGAACCTAGCAAACAGGGTTCAAATGTAAGAGGGGGGAGAAGGCAGTGTGGCGGACAGAGAGGAAGCAGTCTATATAGCTTAGTAGGCAGTTGTGTGGCCTGTCACCAGGCTGCCAGATGTCACCAGGCAGCAAGAAAGGGACTTAGAAGGTGGTGGTGTCAAGAGCAGGGGCAAATAGGACAGAAACAAAGGAAAAGCAAACAGGGACAGTTAAGTCAGGGAGGGTGACAGGGCAGAGTGGGGGACAGCCATGTCTAGTTTGCCTGTGTAGAGGACATGAGATGCTTCTAGACTGAGGAGTCCAGGAAATTAATTGTGTGGCGAGGTTAGCAGCAGCAGCTGGGGATTTGACTCTAAGAAGAGGGCCTGGGCAGTCAGAGCCAGGGCCTGTCAAATTGTATCATAAACGCTCTTAGGACTATCTAGCCCCTGTGGCTACATTATGTATTACTGCGATAAAATTAAGCCTTGAAAACACCCATGGCTGTATTTAACTGTTCTGCACACACATGTAAGACGGCAGTCTTGGGTCCTACTGACATGTCACTCTGGACACTGCAAACACATGAGCCATAAGGCATTCCTGACTTGGGAGAAAGTAGTGGCTGGTTTGGGATCCATTGAGCTGTCCCTTTGCCTAAACCTGCACCGACTAACAGACATGAACACTTGACAAACACTGGGGACAAACGGCGGTGCTTCTGCTAAAGTGGTGTGTCATCCCTGGAGCCTTCTCTTGTTTCATCTTGTGTGTAGTGTGCATGAGAGACACAAAGCTGGGACTTGATGGAGGGCCGGTGTTCATGCTGTTTCCATGGTGACTGGCTACCGAGTCCCTGTGCACTTGAGCAATCAGGGAAGCATGGGGGGCTGGGGTCCAGGAGTCCAGCCCATCAGGTTCCAATGGCAATGCTGTAGAAACCCAGGTGGGGATGGGCTTTGAAAAGGGACAGCACATAATGCTGAGGGCGGAGAAGGCTCATTGGCCTGGCCTGCCCTTCTGTTTAGAACATGGTGGTTTCCTCCTCAGCAGCCAGCGTTGTGCTGGCGAGGTCCACCTCTTCCCCCAGGCAGCCTCTCTCTCTTTAGCCTTGTGTTTGAGGCAAATGTCAAGAGCGAAATGTTTTTTATACCTCCTTCCTGATTTTTCTTTCTCTTCTGATTGTCTCTTTACTGTAGTGCCCAGGCTGCTGGCAGGACTCCATATTAGCCTTAAGCATGGTGTCTTGGGAGCAGTAGACTTCTGTAGGACAGAGTGTGCAGGTTGTGTGTGTGTGTGTGTGTGTGTGTGTGTGTGTGTGTGTGTGTGTGTGTGTTTATGGGGGGAGCACATCTACATTTGTGTGAAGTCTCTCTGGGACTTGGGTGAACTGGGAGAATGGTGGACCACTGCTCACAGGAAGGGTTGTAATGCTTCTGAGATCTATCCAGGCATGGCAACCCAGTGACACCCCCCCCCCCCAAACATGTCCCAGACACGCCCCAGGGGCCAAGAGGAGCCCTGACAGGCATGGCCAGACCAGTGAATACAAATGCCATCCAATACACCTGTATCATCTCCAGATCCAACAAAAAGAAGGAGCGAACACTGAGGACTAGCCGCGCCTGACCTTGGCGGCCAGCTAAGCTGAAGCCTGGCTTTGTTGACAACAGTGACCTTCCCCATGCCTGGCAGAACAAACAAACCAGTCTCTCACAGGAATAAGCCCCACTGGGGAATGGACCAGAGATGAGGTTCCTGGGACTTGGGGCTAGTAGTTCTACCCTGATGAACTCTGCTATAGCCCTGACCTGGGGGACCACATCTGTGAAAGCACTGCCCCAGAACAGGAGACCTGAGTCCTTGCCTGTGACTATAGCTGCCTTGGACCAGCATCAGTGCAGTTCACTGACGATGCCACCCAGATGGGAGCCTTAACTCCCAAAAGGTGTCTCTGCCCTCCATAGGCTCAGGTTGTATTTGGTGTGGGCAGGGTCCAAAGGACATGGCTCCTGGGATCTCCAGGCTTGGTGTTTTACCAGATCCTAGCTGTCTGTGCCTCGAGGGGGACCAGTTTGGATCTGGAATGCCCCAGAGGGCCATGCGCTAAATGCTTGGTCACCAACCTCTGGTGCTGTTGAGAGGTGGTGGGACATTCTGGACACAGTGCCTAGTAGGAGTGAGTTAGGTCACTGGGTATATGCCCAGCCCTCCTCTCTCTGTCATGAGGGGAATAGCATGGTGTACCCATCATGATGATTTCCTTCCCATAGGCATAAAACAACAGGCCAACTGGTCATGGAATAAAATCTTTCAAGCTGTAAGTCAAAACGATTCTTCCCTTTAGTATAGTTGGTCCTCTGTGGTATTTTGTTACAGTCTCATAAAACTGACTAACACAGGGATAAAACATTTACATTGCCACCTCTTATCACTCCAGAGTGTGCTAAGGAATCTCTTCAGAGACCTCAGCAAGGTGGGTGACAGGATCGTGTATACTTCTGGATTGCTCATTTCTCCCCTAACTTAAACTGAAGTAAGATCCTGTCTTTCCTGGAGGGACAGTAAGGAAAAGTGAGAGCCTAAAGTTTGCCAACCCCTGGGTCAAAAGGGAGCCTGGTGGCTCCCACTAAAGGAACAGATCCAGTCACCCACAGCTGTCTTCTCTGAAGCCATACGCTACAGCCTCCACAGCAGACTCCCCTGAGCATCTAGGAGCAGCCAGTCCTGACACTGACATCAGAGCCTGGGGCACCCCTTAGTTAGGAACAGTAGCTTCCCCCCTTCACCCCATGCAACTCTTGGGAAGGGGAAGGGCGTTCTCTACGTACCTACAGATCCAGTGCCGTCAATGATGGCGGTCACGGTGGACAGGGCGTGAGAGTTCCCTTTCAGACTTTTGTGAGTCCCCTGGCGGAGTGGAGAAGGTTGTGAACCACAGGCAGATGAGGAGTGGGAAATAAATCTGCCCCTGACACATATGACCATGACACAGAACACTCTTCTTACAATTCTACACCCTATACCACCCCGAGCAAAGCTCTGAGCACCTCTAAGAGACAGAAATCCTTCAAAAATACTTCCCTGGGCATATTTACTTATTTGTAACTCTCTCATTTAGTCTAAAAAATCCGGTTAGACTCCCTCCTCTGCTTGTTCCCCTTGCGTGCTGACCATTTTGCTCTGTCTGGTGTGGATCCTTCCAGGACATCCCACGGGCACTTAGCTAAGTCTGCACACTCATGCCTGCCCAAGGGATAAGCTTGCTATGGGCAGATTCAGAAACACACCTAACACCAGGGTCAGACAGGGCCAACCTGCTGCCTTGGATAGATGACCTGGGGTGGGGAGGCTTGGTCAAAGCTCTGTTCCTGGGCCTCTTAGCTGGGTACTCTCTGTTGACCACTCAGGGATAGGATTTACACTTCACGGGGGAGGAAGAGCCCTGAGAGAGTGTGGCAAGGGGCAGCCGCTAGAAAACTCTCAAGATACAGGCTATCTAGACACAACTGAGAAGGAAACTCTGAGTAGGGGCGGCAGCATGTGACTCACCAGGTCTGCAGAGACGGCGGTGGTGATCAGTGCATAGGGCCCACTGACTAGGGCCCCACTGAGGAGCAGCATGGCTGTGGGAAACAGAGAGGGCTCAGAACAGAGCCTGTCTGGGCCAGCAGTGCACTGGTGAGGGCAGGCATTTCCAGGGTGGGGAGGAACCCATCCCCCAGGGGCAATGTCCAGGGTGCAGTACAAATGACACTGTGCCCAGGGTGCAACGCCATGCTTACCCGGAGCTTCAGAGCCCCCCTCCCCATTTTGGAGAATCTAAAACTCAAGTTCCCTGGCCCCCATGGACGGTAGCTGATGACAGTACTGGGAGGGAATGAGAGCTTGAGTAGACCAAGGCCAGGCCAGCGCTGGCTCTATGCCACAGCCTTTTCAGTCATGGAAGGGACAGCCTCTCTTCACCACAGGCAGGGATGCTGAACCATGTGGCCCCTCCCTTCAACTGCATGAGCTCATTTTCCTGAAGAGACTCTGGGTCCACATTCACTGGCAGAGTTCTTTCTAGGTCACTTGTGATAAGACCTTCCTCTACTCCTTCCAGTCTCCACAGCTAGCTTTACTTTAGACAGCAAATTCCAGGGCTGTGGCTAATGCCCCATCCCCAACTCCTCTGAGAAGCTCCCCCTTCTTGGAACCTAGAGCTGAGCACTGTTGGCCAGGTAGCCATACTTATCCAACGAACTGTCACACCTGCACTGTTCAGGTCCATGCCTGGCCTCTCCCAGAGGAACATGGGGCCACACTGCTCAGTCACTTCAGCTTAATGCCTCTAGACTGGGTTTTACTGCTCATGTCATGATGTTGTGTGGACAGACACGTGTGTGGGAGAACACATGTTACTCACCTATGGTGGCTTCCAGTCCCATCTTGCTAACGGAGGAGAAGACATAGAGCTGCAGGAATTAAGAATGCGGAGATGGCTCAGCACAGGCAGCTGCAAGCTGCCAGGAGCCTGTGGTTTAGAAAGGGAGCCAACAGGGACCTGGCTGCTGAGCTTGTAGCTCTGGGCCTCGAGGAACTCACAGGGCTTGTGGGACACCGAACAGTTCCCAGCTCCTCATCCAAGGCCTGAAACTGTCTGTCTGAGTGAATACTGTATCCTGGGGTATAGTCCCCACAGCAATGGGCCCAGACTGCTCATAATGTCCTAAGGATTGCCTTATAGAGCCTGAGGCCTGAGAGGACTCAGCCATGTTCCAGGGACAGTGACAGCTTTGGGGAGAAAGGCAGTAGAAAAATATAATATGGCAACAGAATGGTCTCATGTCACAAACAGCAATGGCAGGCCAGCACCACACCAGCTGTGACATCCACACCATGGGGCGATGTGACTCCCAAGCAGATGAGGAAGCTGAGGTAGGGAAGTCACCTGCCCAGGGTCATGAGCTTCTCAATGCTTGAAAATGATCAGTGGGGCTCACTGAACCTAGAAGGGGAGGATGGCACACAGACCCTAAGGGATAGGCAAGGGTGTGACCATGAAGGGAGACAGAGATGGGAGTGAGGGACACCCCACAGAGAGAAGCAACCCATGAGAAACCCAGGGTGAGGGAAGAGCATGGTGTGTGCAGCCCAGGGGTCGAGGCAGATGGGCCTGAAGGAAGCCCTGTGCTTCTGGCCAGGGACAAGCTGGGCTTCTAGGGGTGTGGCGCTCGGGCCTGGCACAGTGGTGGCTGGTGGAAAAGATTAAAGCACTGCCCGTGGCAGTGGACAGAGCCAGGGCTCACCGTGGGTGCCGCCAGCAACAGCATCAGACCACAGGTGGAAGCTCGTTTCTCCAGGCGGTCAGAGATCACGCCTGCTAGGATCCCACCTGTAATAGAGATGGCGGGGCCTCAGGAGCTGAAGCCTGGCACATGCTCCCTAGAGGAGACTAAGTCACAGGGGCAAGAACAGCAACCTTCTCTGAGCCTGTTCCGAGGGGGCAGCAGAGAGTGGCCGCTTGGGGTCTGCCTAACAGGACTCATCTTGTTCGGACCATGGGAGTCACAGGGTGTTTAGATCAGGCTTTAGGGCAACCCCAAAGTACCTGGTATGTATTAATGCCACCACCTTCTGGGGTGTATGTATGTCATTCCTGAGGGCAGCTGGCTTAAGGTCACTGTGTCTCACAGTGCCCTCCCAACAGTAAAACTAACTCGGACAGGGATTGAGAGGTTTGTTTTGTTTTGTTTGTGATACGGTCTCACTGTGTAGGCCAAGCAAGCCTCAGACTTGCCATACTGCTGCCTCAGCTTCAGAGTGCTAAGTCACAGGACAGTGTCACTCACCCAGCTTTCTGGTTAGGTTCTTGGCAAAGTGGAGCAAATGGTCTGGAACTCACCAAAGATCCCGCCCACGTCAAACAGTGTGGACAGCTCGCCAGCTTGCTTGGCATCCAGGTGGTCTGTTGAATGAGCAGCATGTGAGCTAACCAGGACACAGTCTCGGTGATTACCCCAGAGGGACCCACTCAGGACTCTGCTCTGTGAAGGGCTGACGAATCTCACCCCGGCCTGATCATCCCTGTGCCCTTCACTTGGCCACCACAGGGGCATCACCTCAGGAAAGCAGATGAGTCCCGGAAGCTACCTGGTATGCAGATGGTTCAAGGTCATAGGCAGGGCTCCCCCAAAGCAAGAACTCTCAGCCAGTCACACGCTGAAAGTCACCATATGGTACTATGTGCTACCTGACCCCAGGGGACACTAGCACCTTCCTGTGCCTCAGTGGCAGGATACCTTTCATGTCCCTTTGCTGACCAGTATGAGGAGACAGCTGGGAAGTGCTTGGCTGGTCAGACCCATCTCCCTTACCCTGAATGCCCACCTACAGGGAACTGGGCTTGGCTCAAACCAAGACTCAGACTGGGCATCCATGAAATTCAACACTCCAGTCCAGACTGTTCCCTGGTAAAAGGGAGCATGGCCTCCTGCTGAGACTTCCTGTTAGACTGTACTCTGAACTTGAGATGAGGTAGGAGTCCTTAGGCAGGGCCCTGAGGGAGCTCCTTGAAGCCTGTTCACCCACCCTTTCTTTCTGCAGCTTGTCCTTGTTAGCTGCCTCCCCAGCTTTCCTGGCTGAGGCGACACTCTCCAGCTTTGGGCTCTGGTCAACCTTGATATGGCCTTATGACACCCATTGAAATCTGACTCTCCCATTCTTAAAGCCCCCCCCCCTTCCTGTGCTGTCACCAGAGCCCAAGGCCAAGGCTGTATTTATAAAACTCTGCTGCTTTTCCTCTCTCCCCTGCCTCGACATGCCCAGTGACCCCCCACCCCATCAGTACAGAACCGGCGACAGCCCTGACTTGGCTACCAGGAACTGCTAACCCCCTTGTCATGCTACACACAAAGAGTGCACAACTATATAATATGGTTTTCCTGGAACGCCCTATCAGGATCCACAGCTTCAGAATTCTTGGACTCTGACAACTTAGGCTGTCAGCCCTCCTATAAATCAGAACACACCCCCAGAAACAGTTTCTAGGTCAGGTTTCTAAGGATGTCTTATCTCAATCCCCAGTGGCCATGCTCTTGCTTGCTGGCTGCTCCAAAGCCTAACATGGCCCAGATTTAAAAGCAGGTGGTCTCTGAGAACTGCAGAGGGGTCAGAGAGTACCCAGCGAGCCCAGTGAAGATTATCACCAGAGCCACAAAGTGTGTGCACCTCTCCATCCTCTCCCAGTGGCTGAGTCACGCCATCCCTCTCCACTCACCACGTATGGTCCCTGTTACAAGGCTCTGGCCCAGCAGGTGTAAAGGAGTTCTGGGCAGTCAGTGCTCAGAACTGAACCTCACTTCCAGCAAGCACTTACCTATGTTGGTGATGTACAGCGGGAGCCAGAACAGGAATGTGTAGCTGACCAGTTTGGCAAACAGCAAGCACAGAGAGAACTCAATCACGCCCTAGAGAAGGGAGGGCGATCGTCAACTTCAAGTGAGACCGAGTACAAAGGGCTATTGTCCTGTAGACACGCTGTATTTCTATAAGGTTCAGCCTGGCTCAGGGTAGGACATGATGGGGAGGCAAGCCCCAGGAGATTCAGAGCACACACTTGCCTAGCCACCTGGAAGGCATAAATGTGATATCCACATCCAACAAGAGCCAATGAGAATATATTGATGAGACAGCCATGCCAAATGATGGCCAGTGATTTCCTCCTGGGGAGAGGAGGGATGTTCATTAAGGCTCTGGAGCTGGGCTGGAGCGATGGCTCAGTGTGTTAAAAGTACTTGCTGTCCAAGCATACCCCGAGTTCAAATCCCCAGTACTGACATAAAAAGCCAGGCATAGCTGTGTGTGTGTCTATAACTCCAATACTGGACGGTGGAGACAGGCAGATCCCAGAAACTCACTGGTTAGCCATCTAGCCAAATCGGCAAGTTTCTAGTTCAGGGAGAGACCCTGCTTCAAAGTAATAAGGTGGGGAGGGATAGGTGAAGACATCTGACATCTTCCTCTGGCCTCTGCATGTGTTTACATGGGTGTGTGCACCTGTATACTCATGCATAAGTATCACACACATACATGCATGCCCACACACTCACGCTGAACTCCATCACCAACACCATTGGTATTTTCCAGTTGTTCTAGTGGCATGAGGCTGAGAACGTGGGGTCCACCAGTAGCCTATTCCATGCCTGGCATGCTCTGCACGGGGATGAACTCATCTCACTTCACCCTCAGACCAACAGATAGCATTGCACCAGGGGAGGAGCCCAGTGATGGGCAAACAGGAACTCAGTGTGGATGCTCAGGCCAACCAGCTGGGCAGGGGGAGTGTGAAAGCCAGGCCAGGCCCCCGAAGCCTGTCCTGTCCACACTGTCTGCTGCCCAGCTGATGTCAGCAGGGGTATTTGGGGCAGCAATCTACAACAGTAAGGTACCACAGAAGGGCTGCTAGCCAGTAGCAAGAACACAGTCTTAGAAATGAGGTTCAAAAAAAAAAAAAAAAAAAAAAAAAAAAAAAAAAGAAAAAAGAAAAAGAAAGAAATGAGGTTCATTTAAAGCTGGCATGTTCCGCTGGCTGGCTATGAGGCCCGTTCAGGAAGCCAGTGCCCAGGCCTGTGCCTGAGCTGTGGAGACTGGCCAGGGCTCACAACTATCAGCTGTGAGATTGCTAACTCAGGGCATTGTGGGAGCTAGCTGACACCAAGGGCCAGAGCATAATCAAGTCCAGCTGTGTAGGACCCTAGTGCATTGCTGGGTAGTCTGTAACCTCTACCCCCTCAAGTCTTGCCCTTCCTGTGGTCACATGTCACACTGGGCACTCAGACCCTCACTGTGCTGGGAAACAGCAGGTTCAGTAGAGCCACAGAACACATGGTGAGCACAGAGTGCTAATCCCCTGGAGCCATAAGGCAAGGGACTGAGAGGGTAGAGACTCAAGAGGGACAGAGGGAACATGGGTGTAGGACCTGAGCAGCCACATTTTTGGGTTTTTTTTTTTTTTTTGTTTTTTTTTGGTTTTTTGAGACAGGGTTTCTCTGTGTAGCTTTGGAGACTGTCTATAGACCAGGCTTGTCTCAAATTCACAGAGATCCAACTGCCTCTGCCTTCCGAGTGCTGGGATTACAGGTGTGCACCACCAATGCCCTGCCAACTTTCCACTTTCCAAGAAGAATGTTTGTCAAATTTAATCTGTTTAAGGAATATCTGAGTGGAAAAAATAATTTTCAAAATGATAGAAAGAGAACAAAACAAAGAGCTCACATACACAGCCACATTCACCCCAGAGTGACCAGCCACACTGCACACACAGAACGGGAGGGGCGGACTCAGGAACTACAAAGCCTCCCACCTCTCCTTCAGACTCCTCTCTCTCCCACAGCCCACTCTCGCCCTGGCGTGCTGACTCACTGGGATCCTCAGGGCTCCTGTGAAGCTGATGGCTACCATGCTGCCACTGCTGTCACCAGGGAGGACAACGATGTGGCTCGGGTGGAGGGAGCTCTTCCCGTCTGACAGCAGTAAACACTGCAGTTCTGGGTCCTGGAGACAAAGCAGAAGGGACAGATGTCACTGGGGTATGTAGCTAAAGTGAGGCCACAATTCTACGCCATCTGGTTCCCTGCTGAGTGCCTTAGGAACACATACGGGTGACAATGTCAACCCCATGGTCACATCAGCCATCAGTATCCACCTGGCTCATGAAATGCCATTAACTCATAAAACTTTGGTTCAGAGATAGTGAAAAACAGCCGAATGGTGGTGGCGCACACCTTTAATCCCAGCACCCAGGAGGCAGAAGCAGGGGGATCTCTGAGTTTGAGGCCAGCCTGGTCTACGGAGATAGTTCCAGGACAGACAGCGCAACACAGAGAAAACCTGTCTTGAATACAAACAAACAAACCAAAAAGTGTAAAACAGAAAAATGAAACCCAGGCATGGAGAAAGATCAGTGGGTTAAAATATATCCATTTGGATAATGTATCTTGCACCCAACATCTGGAAGATTCTGGTAACAGGAAAAGATTTTTAGCATCTCTCAAAATAATCAGATTATATTTTCATTATGATCTAACCAGATGTGTCCAGCCTGCTGCACAGGGTTGACATGTGGCCAAAGATAATTCAGAAATGCACCCAACACAAAATTATAAACATACTTAAGACAGTAAGAGATTTTTAAGTGTGTGTACGTGTGTGGTTTTCTTGTTTGTTTGTTTACACAGTTCTCTGGCATGAACCTTGCAGATGACGACATGGTTGAACATGCCTGAAGGGATGATTTCTGCATTCATTCACATCTACAGGATACTTTTCTGGAAAGAGAAGCTAAACTCTAAACCAGCAATGTGGTCACTGCGCTGTAGAATGAGGATAATGTCATGGACTTGCTAGGGAGAAATTTGTTACAGGACATTCTTGTGGACAAACCCTGGCAGAAACGATGTTCTGAGATTTGTGCCTTCTAGTACTGGGAACATTCCTACAGGACAGAATTTGTGCTCACTGGAGCAAAGCAAAGAGATCCCAGCTCTGCATGGGGTTGTAAGTCAGACATAAAAAGGCTTTTCCTGAATGAACTATGAATCCCCAGGAGCTTACAAAGCAGTGTTTCTTCAGATGTGCCATGGGATCCAATAGCCACTGATGCATTGTATTTGTCTTACTGTAACCCATGTAGGGTGAATTCAAACTACAGTAGTTTTTTTTTTTTTTTTTTTAAGATGATGGGGCTGGAGGGATGGTTCAGCAGTTAAGAGCACTTGATGTTTTAACAAAGGACCCAGGCTCAATTTCCAGTATTCAAATGCCCATGACTCTAGTGCTAGGGATCCAATGCCCTCTTCTGGCCTCTGTGGGGATTGCACAGACATTTCACATACAGACAAGCAGTCACTCAGGCACACATATTAAATAAAAGATGAAAGGCAGGTGGCAGGTTTGACATGTGGATACTCAGCATTGTGCGTGAGCTCAAGATGGACACATCAGCCAGGCCAGGCTCACTGACCAGGAGGACATTTCCATGCTGAACCTGTGTGCAATAGTTAAGAGGGAAAATGAGAAGCTCAGGTATGAAGGAGGGATGTAGTCCACTCCTCACAGGTACAGGGAACAAAGGGCTGCCACTCACACTGGGAACTGGCCTTCCTCTCATGACTCTAGTCAGGTGTCCAGCTTGGGAGACTGTCCACCAGTTCTCTATTGTACTTAACACTGGCTCATCTGAGAGCCTGAGAACCCCTGTTCCTGGGTTGGCTGAGCTGCAGAAATCTCCCAATAGCTCCAGGCTTCCCTGGGGACCAACCTGAGGTTGGCAGGATTTCACGGCTCCTTTGAAAGGGAAAGAGACTTGGCCAGGGGTAAGATGGAGCAAGCCACAAGTGCAGAGAGTCCACCTGGCCAGGAGAGGAGCTGTCTGTGACCAGGAGCTCAGTAAGAACAGTTCAGCCACAGAAAGCCCACCTGCTCTCCTACAGAGTGAAGTGCCCTAAGGCGCCACCTGCTGGGCTGCAGGCACAAGTCTACCTACACCCATGCCTCTAGGGAAGGCTCATCCCCTTTGCAGGTTAGAAGGCAAAGGGACTGCTATTCCTTTCAGAGTGAACAGGGAGCCCCTGACTAACAAGAGACAAATCCTGGGGGGCAGGGGGTGGGCCTCCTGTCTCAAACACTTGATGAGCAGGTTCCATGTGCACTCTAGCCTGAGGGCTGTGCAATGAATGAGGATTCTTCAGCTGCTGCCCAAGAGCTAAGGTTGTCCCTGCTATTGACAAAAGAATTCTCAAAGGCATGCGCACACGCATACACACACACACACACAGGTGCCAAGGCTACTGCTGTCACCGAAATGCCTCATTTGGATATGCCTGTAGTCACACTGTGGGGATCCTGTCCCTGGTGAGGTCTATGCTTCCCATCTATCAAGAGAGGCACAGGTCAATGAGCTCACCATTGTGAGGCTCTGCGGGGTCTCAATAGTGTGAGGATGAGGAGGAAGACAAGTGGCCATGGGTATGGGAATAATGTGGGCAATCGTCACCAGCCCACAAAGACCAAAGGAAGCTCCCCATGCAGCCACATGTGGCCTCTGCATTAAGCCTGGTGCCTGGCATGAGCAGCAGTGAGCTGCACCTGGGGTCAGTCTGGAACACTCTGGAAAGGGAATAACTAGGGGCTCCTGCCAAGCTCAGGGACACTCCATTACATGTCCTAACCCATGGCAAGTGCAGAGGCAGGGGCTCCCTCAAAATACCATGTGAGCAGGGTCAGTCCCCACTGTGGTTGGCTTGAATAAGGCTGCCCCACTGCTACGTAGCTGGCTTCTTGGGGAAGTGAATAGACTTGTAGAGAGGCAACACACTGAAGCCAGAGGGAGTCTTTTCAGGGTAGTCATCACAAAGAAGAAAGTGTCAGCCTTCACAGTCACCACAGAGGAGTGTCACAGAGGTGTGAACATTAATCAAGAGGTGATATTGAAAAACAAAACTCAGGTGAGCCAAAATTCTTGCAGTCCAACCTCTTGACATTGAGACACAATGCTGTCATCTACAAAGTCCACATTCAAAACCTGTGCATCAGGCTGCATTAATAGCTATGCTGCAATGGGCATATGTGGTCTCTGGGCTCTGGACAATAAAGAAAGTGACAGCATGCTTAGTGCATTGACCCTTCAAGCAATCTTACTTCAAAATGAAAGAAAATGGCTATAACGTCATTAACTAGGCTAAGACAGAGTCTAAAATGTTGCAGAAGGCTCAGCTCGGGAAGTCAGTGAACTGTCTGAGGAACTGAATCCAGAAGAACTATGTGAGAAAACAGCAAGGAAAAGGGCCAGGCATGGGCAGAAGTCTTCTGGACATTATCCAGGGTATGGATCAGGAACTTAGTACCTTTATGCCTTAGTTTCTTCATCCAGAAAGAGGGCAGAAAGATAAGAGATGATTTTTTTTATGACACCAGTCACCTTTTCTCGGGCCTGTGACAAGAACTCTTTATACCTTATACCTCTGTGTGCTCAGAATTGCAACACCCACCCACCATACAGCTGTATGCAGTGACACCTGCTGGGGCCAGACGGAACAGCACCGGCCTTCCCTGCCTCTCCACCCAGGGTACCATGTGACCGAGGTCTCTGCTCACTTCCCATCTGCACCTGCTTCCTCAGCCCTAATGACCCTGACTGAGCAGTGGGTTTCTCGAGCTAGCAAACAACTATTGGATGGATGAATGGCTTTCGGACAGTTTGAAGACATGTAAGTAGCTGACTGTCCAGAGAAAGTCAACGAAGGTAGCTCAATTGCCCTTTAGGAATACAAGTAGACTCAATGGTTTAAAGAACCTGGGTGTCTGAGATGTGACTGAGGCAAGGGACAGCCAGTTGGTCCACAGGGCTTGGAGACTAGTTCTGAATCTCTGCAGATGTCCCAGCAGGTGGAAGCCATGTGTCACTCACCAGAGGTCCATTCTTTTCGGTATGTGTGGTTTGCTTCTGCAATCTAAATCTGTTTATGCCATTCTCTGAGATTTTGGAGTGCTGGAAGAAAAAACATCTCATTAGAGTGTTCCTTAAGAACATTTATGCTGGGGCTGGAGAGGTGGCTCAGGGGTTATGGACCTGTCTGCTCTCCCAGCACCCACATGGTGGCTCACAACTATCTTAACTCCAGTTCCAGGGAAGCTGATGTTCTCTTCTGCCTCCATAGGTAATGCGTGCATATGGTGCATATACCTACATGAAGGCAAATGCTTACACACTAAAAACCAGCACATTTTTTTTTTAAAGGAACACTTCTGTCACCATAGAAAAATTACGAGGAAAAAAAAAATTGTGGCAAATGACCAGAAACGTTGCTGTCTCATGACTTCTGGGGAAAATTCCAAACACCCACACCACATCACTTAAAGCTCGCAGTGCAGTGGTCTGTGAGTCAGAGCCTTGTATCCAACATTGACTTCAATCCCAGAATGTTCCTCACCTTTAAGACAGGAGTCTGTCACTCTGTGCCCTCCCCAGCCCCACATGCACTGATCCATTAGTCATCACTATGGATGTGTCCCCACAGATGTGTCCCCTTCTGGATGCTTTGTGTAGGAAGGGCTGCCTCACTAAAGCTTGTCTCACTAACGACTTGGCAATGACTTCCTTGTGTCCCTCCCCAGACACAACTTGTGAATACTTTCTCCCATTCTGCGGGACTGCCTCACTTCAGATGGTACTATCTGAAACACAAAAATCTCGAATTCTAATGAAGCCTAATTGACATTCCCCCCCCCCCTTTAGCTCTGCTGTGCCATGGCTGAGCACCCCTGTGACTTCATGTGTTGAAGTTGAGCCCCACTGTGAGACCAGCTGTTCTGCTCATGGTCCCTCTTCACAGAAGCCTCAGGACAGCTGAGCTCTGTGAGACTCCGGGGACTCACTCAGAGATTAGAGAATTGAAAAGGAAAAGATTATAATGCTTTTTGGCCTTTTAGCCAAGATCATGTATAGGGGGAGAATCAGACAGACTCAGCCCTACATCACACATACACACACACCAGCAGCTTGGACCTGAGCTGGCCCCTGTTTTTCTGAAGCTTGCTGTGAGGAAGAAACCACTTCTATGATGCTCCACAGGTGTGGCTGGTCACAGCTGTCCAGAGGGACAGATGTTCCTACATGGAAGTGAGTGTCCAGGTTCTACTGCATCTAGAGGTTGGCCACCTGTGTGACTCATAGGGGCCTCATATCACAATGGGAACATCATGAACTCTGTAGGTTTGAACTCTGAAATCTACACTTCGGTGGGACATGGCTTTGAGAAAACTTTCAAATATCAGCCACAGATACTCTTCCAGAATATAGTAGTCTTTGCTTACTTTTGTTTTGGGTTTATAAAGTGTCAGGATGCCCACCCACCCATGGTTGTTGAGCCTCAACAGGAAGGGGTTCTGGCACCCTCTGCCCCACAGTTCAGACGATGTCCCCGGAGCTGACAGCATGGGTCTGCTTGCTATCTACAAGAAGGTCCTAACATCTCACAAGGCAGAGGGTAAACAGGGTAAGGGTGGTGGTGGTGGTGGTTAAGCTGATGGAAATGGGGCCGCTAAGGGATGTCATGCCAGACTGTGGTGACATGTTTCAGGCAGCCTCTGCAGGTGGAGCTGAGAACTTAGGGAATGGTCAGCAGGAAGGGCTCGGTGGGTGCTGATGTGGGCTGAGAATCTTGTTATATGTGAGGCTGTGGCAAACCTCTGCCCTCTGGCAGTGTGGGCTGCAAAGACGACTAGGTAGTTCTGGAAGGTAACAGGAGCTCTTACCGTGGGCAGGGTGGAGGAGCATTTGATGTCCTTTGGATCTGAAAGAGCAAAGAGGAGACCAGTGGCTGAGCATGGCTGCCCACAGCAACCCCCCATCCCTGGCCCCGGGGCCTCAGGAGTCCTTAGGGTGCTGCTGGCAATGGGACTGCTCTTCACCTGGCTTTCCTGCTAAGCGAGTGGGTTCAGGGTCTCTCTCCTCGCCAAAACAGAAATCAAAGAAGGGACTATGTGAGTGGATGGGTGTGTTTCATGACTGTAACTTTTACTAGACATTCGTCCTTGAATGTATGTAATAACGTTCATTTGAAGAGAACAAGACACCGTCAGGAGCTTTCACTAAATAAACAGAAGCCTAAGGAAGACAGACAGCCCAGGTGGAGTGGCTGGCTGGGGAGATGAGGGCACAGCCAGCACCCCTTCCGTTCTTCCACTGACCTCTGATGGGCACGTGGCGGCCCCCGCTCCAGGAAGTGCCAGACCATGGGTGAATATGGAAAGAGCTTGACAGTGTGGTAAGTGAGCCTGAGCCAAGGCCACGGCAGACACATGGAGCGGTTAGATGAAACACAAAAGCGTGAGACTGGAGCCGGGACGCTATCAGAGCAGCATTTATAATAAATAAATAGGTGGCGAACTTCTACGAAATAAAAGTGAGTGGAGGTCAGACGCCTCCCAGGAGAGAACAGAATGCCAGTGTCCCTGAAAGGAAGCCAGGGGTCACAAAAAGGTGCTGCCTGTCCTGTTACTGAAACTCATCCAGCAGCGTGCTGGGCCTCGGGTGGTCACTCAGCTCACCAGGCAAGCGGCAGTTTGTCCCTGAACCCTGTGTGCATGAGACATGTGTGTGAGAACTGCCCTGGGGCCTGACACACTATCTGGGATGCAGGTAGTAGTCCGCATGGGACGTTCTCTGCTTGCCACCCAGGGAAATGTCCCAGTTATGACAGCAGGGGACAAGAAGAGGGTCCCAATCCCAAGGCAGGGAGCAGGGCCAAGCTCAGACCTCTTTGTAAAAGCGTAGGAGGTGGAGGTGCCCTCAGGCATGGTTGGCAGAGCACTGGGGAGCTGGCCTTATGGGGAATGGAACACAGCCAGGTTCAGACGGAAACAGCACACACATAGCTGAGCACCAGACCCTGGAGACAGCCTTGTATTGTACAGAGAGGGGGAAGGAGGAGGGGCCGCCAGGGCACCAGGACCAGGCCACCAGGACAAGCCACTTCGGTGAATGAAGTGCCCAAGAGAGGTAGAAGCAGAGCAGTGGTGGGAGGTGGCTGATGAGGCAAACCAGCTGGTGTGACCTGGGGCCAACATCAGGAGGGCGTGGCGTGGAAGGATGAGGAGAGATGTGGAGGCAAAAAGATAAAACAAAGGTCCACTGCTCTGGGTAATTCTGTCCTAAGTAAGGATGGAGCTGAAAGGTGACATGTAGCCCATCTAGCCACTGCCACACCCTCTGTGCTTCCTTCCACCCCCCTCACCCAGAAGCAGCTTCTCCATCAGTTAAAGAAGAGAACACGCTCCCCAGGGACAGGGCAGTCACAGGGCCCAGAGCCTTAGCAAGGAGGGACTGTGACTCTCCAGGTATCTGGTATAAGATAAATGCCTGGGGGAGTGGAGGGGACAAGGCCCAGGAAGACAGGGAACACAATGGCCTTTTCAAGAACCTCAGTGACTTGCCGGCTAGTTAACCGGTTGCCTTAGTGCAGCAGCCACAAGGCCCTGCCCATCCCACAGTGCACTTGCTGAGGCCGGCCTGCCACCCTCCAGTCAGCCTGCCACTTCCTGGGACTCTGGAGAACCCTGTCAAATGGGGCGAAGCAGGGGCTCACATGGCCCATTCTGCTTACAGAGCACACATCTGAGTCCCAGGTCTGTATGTTCGTTTCTATTTTCACCTACCAGAGCTTGGCAAGACGGAGGTCACTGAAAAAAATTGACAAACTGGCTTGAGCAGTAGGGTAAAAAGAAATGAGGGCAGTGTGGAAGCTGGGGTCGGGGACAAGGTCAGTGTGTGCAGGGTACAAAGGGACTGGAGCCCTGGAGATGAGGGCAAAGGCTGGGGACCACCCTGACACACCAGAGTCATGTGCTTTCCATCTTGCTTCAAGCAAAAATCTAAGAACTAAGTGGCCAGGCTACCTTATGAGACCAGGGCCAGGACGAGGGTCAGAATGGCCCGGCTCCTTTGCTCAAATCTTTGCTTTAAATGTTATTTTCAATATTTGTTAAATCAGAAATCCAGGGCTGACTGCAATAGAACATGGACTTCATTTTCCTGTAGACACTTTACCTAATTAGATATATGGCTTTAAGTCACACCATGGTTTTATGACATTGCCCGAGACACAGCTTATCGCAAAGTACACAAGCTGGTAAAGTCCATGTCTGCATGTGGAGGTGGTGGGGTGAGCAGGTGCGGCCACGTAGTTTGGGCCTGTGCCCTCAGGTGGATGTATGAGGGGGACCTGAGACTCCCTGGTGATGCAGATACCCGGTGCTAAGGGAAGGACAGGGACAGGGAGATGAGGGGGAAGGGATTTCCACAGGGGTCACTTCAGAAACTGGGAAAGAGCAGAAAACCGAGCAAGACTAGGAGAGAACGGGCTGCTGGGAAAGTGTGTACAGGCCTGGCTAGGGGATAGCCAGGGTGAGTACCAGCACCAGCAGTGCTGCAGTCCACACTAACTTAACCTGAAGGCTAAAGCCCAGGTGCCCATCCCTAAGGCCATGTATACTCACGTTCAATGAGAAAGAGAAAGCACACTATCCCCATGGCTGCCACGATGGCCCCGGGCACAATAAATGACAGTCCCCAGCATGTGGACACCCAGTAGCCGGCAATCAAGGATCCCAGAATGTTGCCCACAGAGGTGTGGGAGTTCCAGATCCCCATGATCAGGCCTCGCCTACAACACAGGATAAGGGGACAGTGAGTGGCACAGTGATGTCAAACGGGGTCTGTATGTAAAACGGGAGCAAGAACGTGGCAGCAGGAGCTGGGCGCACAGAGGGGCCAGTATGGCCCTGCAGAGGCTCCGTCTGCATCTGCAGGCGAAAGGCTGCAGCTGCTCCTTAGAGAAATGTGCTTTCATTCTGCCTCAGGCTACATCAGCACACCAGCGTCCACCTTCGCACAGAGATCCTTGAGTCTATGATTCAAAGAGGAAGGGGCATTTTCCTGCAATTTCTTGGAAGGCTCGGGATTTAAATTTGTGCCTCTGCAAACATGGTAGTCGGTTGACTATCACAGTGACAGAAGCTCACAGTGCTACACACACGCCAAACAACTAAAACAGGCTTTCTAAATCAGGCCTCTGAGTCCATCTCCCATTTTAGCTCCTCCATCTTGGGTGGCGTCTCTATGGTGACTTAACCCCAGCTAAGCCAGGCTGGGACTACAAGTGACTGCACTGTAGTCAGATCACTAGAGCTGGGCCAGGCCTGCTAATTATGGACTGGGTGACTTCTGCCAGAATGTCTCAAACTCCACAGTCAGATGCAGACTCCAATTCAAGAGGCCTCAGACTGGGGCCCAGACTCTCTGTCCCACAAGTGTGAGGGAAGCTGAAGCCAAAGGCCACACAGCTCTCAGGTGTGGAGTCCAGGTCACACTACCTGCCTAAGTGGCCAGGGGAAGACTGTGTTCTGAAGGTACATAGGTCCTGGGTTCTGAAGGCTGTAGCCCAATGGGAACTGTAGAGCCCCCATCTCAGAGGTTTCAAATCATTGCTTTAAGGAGGAGGCACATTAATGCTCCTGAAATAGGCTGAAAGAAAACTTGAAAATGATGTGGTCCAGTTTCTATCAGAATCGGAAAAAAAACAAAAACACAAACAAAAAAAAAAAAAAAAAAAAAAAAAAAGAGGGGGCCATTTTTTCCTCACCTTCCTTTTCCAAACCAGTTGCTGAGGCAGGTGACGACGCTGGGCCAGCCTGTGGTCTGTACCAGTCCATTAATGATCTGTAGATAGGGGAAGAGGTTCACTGAGGGGAGATGCTGGCCCCTCCTCATCCCCCCTGATCTGGGACTCACAGAAATGGCAGAACTTTATGTTAGTATCAAGCACCAAAAGCGAGAAGTAAGTTTTATATTTACATATAGTTTAAACTGTGAAATTTAAACTATATAAGTAGTTTATACATAGAAACATGGATATATTATAAAGTATATATAAGCCAGGAATAGTGGTGCATGGCTGTCATCTTAACTGCTAAGGCGGTTGACATCTGTCTGGCTAACATAAGACCTCGTTTCAAAAAATAAAATAACACACACACACACACACACACACACACACACACACAAAGTTAAGTTAAAAAGCCAACCCAAGTTTTACATGGTGGCTCAAAAACCTACAACTCCAGTACTCAGGAGGAATGCTATGAGATTGAGGCCAGCCTGGGCTACATATAAAACATTTCCTAAAAACATGAAAATAGGGGCTGGAGAGATGGCTAAGAGGTTAAGAACACTGGCTGCTTTTCTAGAGGGCCTGATTTCAATTCCTAGCAACCACATGGTGGCTCACAACCATCTGTGATGAGAACTGGTGCCCTCTTCTGGTGTGTAGGTATACATGCAGGCAGAACACTCTATACATAATAAATAATACATCTTAAAAAAATGAAAATAAAGCCAATCCAGCTAGGACCCTTAGCCAGGAACACACTGACAGGTTGGGATCAGGCATTCTAGACTCCTTGAAATCTAAACATTCTGGAAAGACAAGAACTTTTCTCTTTACAGACTGGTTTATACACTGCTACAAATTGAACCTAGAAATGCCCTGTCTTCCCTGACTGCCCACCAAGAAGATTCCTTCTCAGACCAATGCAGCCTTGATCCAGTTCTGGCATGCATTCCCACCTTCTCCAAGCAGGTGTTGGACCAGCATTTAACGAAGAGACTGCTACCAGAGAGTTCTGATGTCATCAGAACGGAGGTTATAGCAAAAAGCCCAGCCCAGTGCAGGTTGCCTCACTGGACAATGGGTCTTCCAGGAGGCATGCAGAGAGTAGCATGCCCACCTGCTGCTGCTCCTGGATCAACAGCTCTGCCTTGGCTAGAAGAGCATGCTGGGTCTCTGAGGACTTTCTTTCCTTCCATTCTAATTCTGTACATCATTACAGTCTGAGGCTTCTGCATCCAAGGAGTCAAAGAGGAAGGATCAAATGCATTGATTGTTGGGCTTACCATGACTGCATCCATACAGAACGGTCAACGTTCTCTAGACAGTGTAACAGCTAGAGACACACCACTCACACTGTGTTAGGTATTATAAATAACATAGAGACAAATAATCCACAGGAAGATGCACGCTGATCTATGCCGCTTAATGCACGGGACTTGAGCAGTTGTGGGCTTTGCTAAAATGGGAGTCCTAGAAGTGATTCCTCCAAGGATGTCAGGGTAACTAAGTGCAGGCAGGAACAAAGCATTCTCATAATAAAGCAGTTATGCTTTGTCAGGCTCAATGGCACAGTCGTGAAAAGGAAAATTAGACAAGAGTGGCCTTGGTTTTTCTATCACAGCTCCCCACCCTTGGCCATCTGGAGAAGTTGGGCAACCCTATTTCCTTTGCTAGTCAATATTTACCCACGGGACTGCAGGAGAGGACACAAAGGCTGGGCTCCTGTGGAGGGCAAACCGGGCTTCTGGCCCTACCTCTGCACCTACAGCACCTCTGCTTTGCCACAGGTCCTGCAGTAAAGGCCTCATAGCCGCTGGCTCTGCTAGCAGCCATTCCTACCCTGGCCACCCCATGGCCACTTCAGAGTGATCATTAAGGCTTCACACCTCATTAATCTGCAGGCTGACAGCTCCTGAAATAGGAAGTAGCCACACAGATGCCAAAGGAGGGCCTTCCCAAGCCACCTGCTGGAGGCTTGACCTTGGAGAGGCTCTGTTCCTCTCCTCACCAGCATCTGCCATCCGCTTTCTTAGCAGACGTGGGTTTTGGGACCTGAACCATCCTGTTTCTCACAGTGAGCCTAGATCAGGCCCTTACCTGGGTCACCACGTAGAATCCCAAGCTGTGGATGTTATAGAAATAGCCCAAGCCGAACAGGGCTGTGAAGGCGCCACTGGCCAGCATCCCAAAAGTCAGGTAATACCTAATCGGCAGGCGTTCCCCTATTATGCCACTGAGGGAACAAGGAAAGAGACAAGCATGAGGAAAGAGCACACAGCACACTGCCAGCAGCCCAGCCACGTCTCCCGGATGTCCTGTGTCATTCTCTGTGCTTCTAGACCTCTGAGCCCCACCATTTCCAGGGAGACCAGCAGGAATGTTTCTCCATGAAGCTAGCTCACTTACTCCCACAGGATCCCTTATACCCATTTCTCATAAAAGTCACCAACCATCAGACAATAAAACACACACCATGACTCACACCAATACTGCCCAGCAAAGCAGGCCTTGTTAAGCCTTCTTTTATATCAAAAACACACAGTACAGAGCTATTGAAAATGCCAACCGTCAAGCTGCAAAAGATGACTTGAAAATGGGACTGATGTGACCCTGAGCAAGCCGTCCATTCAGTGAGCAGTAACCAAGAAACCTGTGTGAACACACCTATTGGGTGTGTCAGCAAGGACCACACTCCCCTGCCCGGTCAACCACTTCCTGCCACAGCCGCAGCTGCCTGCCTGAAAGACATGCTTTCTCACTCAGTGTCTAAGGCCCATCCGGAGGAGCAGAGGCTGAGTGTTAAGACAAGCAGTGAGGCTCAGTGAGCTGAATTACTTGCAGTTTTACCTTCCTGGGCCATGTGAGGTCAAAGTGAGCTACATCCACGTGTCAGGTCGGCTGTGGGACTGGAGTGGTGATGAGCATGACAAGTCTCCAGCTTCATAACAGGGCAGACACAGAACGGGTTGCTATCACCATGACACCACGCTCTACCACTTGCCTAACAACATCACCAAGGACACATGTGATTTCAGCAGATACAAAAGACCCTTTGTGATCTTTCAAAACTCCATGGGGGCTGGATCACTGGTTAATGGCACTGTGCTCTTCCAGAGGACCTGAGATGTGTTTTCTAGCACCTATGTCAGGCAGCTGACAACTGTCTGTAACTCCAGCTCAGCTCCAGGGGACCTGATGCCCTCTTCTGGCCTCCATGGACACGTGCACACACCTGCGCGCGCACACACACACACACACACACACACACACACACACACACACACACACACTTTTAGAAAATCCAGAAACTCCACAAGCCCACACACTTTCAGGAAATCTAGAAATTCCGCAAGCCACACTCCCTTCCACGTAACCGGTTACTCCAGGATTCCAACAAGCAGAGAATGTAGGCAGACACCTGCCTGCCTGCAATCAGCACCCTGGAGAAAGCGCCATTGTTCCCACAACATCTCCAGAACCTGCTCACCATCAAGCTGTCCTATCTACACTCACCAAACAGGAAAAATCTACCTAGAAGCACACAAATGACCACTAAAACAGTAGTGAGGCATAATGACAACATGGTGCGCAGAACCTGATCACAGAGATTGGAGAGCATTCTAGAGATAAGTTTTCTCTACTCCTCCTTGCTCACTTTGGGGGATTAGGAGACATTTCAGAGGCTGCTAACATGCCTATGCACGGGGCAAGGGGCTGAATCATATGGGCTCCCAAGAGCATCTGGCATTGGCTACCACTGTGAAGTGTCCCCTGGTACGGTCGCCTGGAGCCTCACCTAGCACCTCTTCTCTGTTTGTGAGATTTAAGGAACAATTCTGGTGGAATGGTCACCACCCCATGTCATACCTGATTCTCAAAGGACTCACCCATGCTATACCTGCTGATCCTGTCAGGCAAGACCTGGGTGCACCCATCTCCCATGTTTTCAGTCCATCTATTGAGGCAAGACCTTAGTGGAGTGGTAGATGCACAATGGTCTGAGGGCTGTTGTGCCTTCTTGTCATGGCACAAAGCCCATCCGTAAAAAGGCAGGTGTCCTTGCCCCTGAGATTTCTGTATGGACTTCATGTTCAACAGAACCTTGATGTAATAAACTCACCGATGAGCTGCATGAGAAACTACCTTTGCTGATGAAGATACAATAAGAAACCTACTTTATTTACTAAGCTAGGTTTCTTGGGCAGGACAGACATCGTTGGAGTGAGGACTGTTCTATGTCCTGGGTTGTTTAGCAGAACCTCTCATCTCTGCCCACTAGATGATGCTAGATTCCCCTCCCTTAGCTGTGAAAGCTACAGATGTTCCCAGGCACCACTATATTCTCTAGGGTATAAAACTGGCCAAGTTTAAGTACCACTTTCTAGCAACTGAGGAACAGTGTGTGCCACCCCACTCACCACTGCAGAGTATTTGTGTACCAGGAACATTTACCTTCAGAAGGGTTTATGGCTGGTAGGTTGATGAAGACTAAGCCTATACCTTATTGCTCTTTGGTTGGGCGTACCTCATAGCCTGGCACTTGAGCATCCTCTACCACCCATTCTCTCAAACACACAAACTAAGCATCACGTGGCATTTGCATCTGATAAAGGGGGTTGTATTTACTATTGGCAGGAATAACTTGTTCGTAAGTCACTTCCTCCACAGGGTCCCTGGGCTGGGAAGGGCCCTGGGTCTTGATCCCATGTGTTGGGAGGCTCTCGGAGAAATAATTAAACACTTACAGGGATTCCCCAAGACTCCCAGGCTCTAGGTGTCTAAATGAAGTCTCTTGGGATACAGGTTGTTAATCTCTATGACACTTTGCCTTAATGTTTTTTTCCAATTCTGGGGCTCCACCCCTGGTTCCCTTACATGCTGTGTATGCTAGGCAAACACCCTATCACCAAGCAATCTCTCTAACCCTTCTACAACATTATTTTAGAATATTACAGGAAGACAACATCAACTACTTTTCACCAGCCACTCATTTGCTTTCTGACCCCAGAGACATCTGCTACCTCCTAGGTCCTTCCAATGACAGGAAAGAACATTTCCTGTACTGAAGAGCCCAGGACACTGGAAGTGGTTGTAGCGTGAGTGGCCCTACCTCAGGTACATCCCAATGGCATAGGCGCACAGGAAGGAGTAATCCAGGGCTCCAAGTAGCTGCTGGTAGTTGTTCTTATCTGTGTGGATTTGAGAATCACCAGAAGGGCTCAGAATTATTTAGTTTGTTTTAAGAGTTGCACTATAAAACACAAAACCTACATTCTGCAAGCCCCTTAGAAAGGGAGGTGTTCTAATTCCAAAAACACACGGCAGCCCAGGGGCTGGCCAGCTTCTTGTGGAAGAAAATTAAAGTCACATCTTTTCCAAGTTGTTCTTGAATATGTCCTTCCAATTGGAAGTGGGTTTAACTTTTGTGTTTCAGTGTCACCTGGCTGGCCTGTGGCACCCCTCATCAGATTTGCTTGGCAAGCCCTACCTCCAGGTGTGACAGGTACACACTGCAGGCTATCTTCTAGGGCCTTCCCAGCACAGACATGCTCACTTAGGGGGTGGCCTCTCTGCATGTAGGCATCAAAGATCTTGTGGTTGTTGAATGTTTGCTGGGGGACAGCTATCACTGAAACACACTTATGCTTGAGGTTAGCAGCACTGTCTTGAGACCAGCCAGGCTGTAGGAACCCCAATGATTGGCTGTCAAGATCCCTAGGCAACAGATCATTTGACCAAACTCACCGAAGGGGGCCCAGCCACAGTCAGTCTCATTGTGCAGGAGCCAGTGGGTGGGGCCATGCTTGGTACTGCTGCTTGGGCCATTGAATCTGGGATCAGGCTCATCCCCCGCAGCACATTGCTTATGAAGCTCGCCCTAGAGCAGACAGGGATGGTGGTACAGGAAAAGAGGTTACTTGGGATGCCTCAACCACGCAAAGTGGCTTCCCCACTTTGCTCAAAAAAGCAATGACTTTTTTGAGAAGAGGCCTCTGGTAGGTCTGTGAGGCCCACAGGAGTTCCTGCTGCAGGCAGTAGGCTCCAGAAGCATTTTGCAATAACTCTAGTTCACACCTACAGCCAACCCAAGCACCACCAGCCTTTAGAGATCACATCAGGCAAGGGAGTGCCAAGCTGAGGGCCAGCTGCCAGTCCTCCTTGACAGTCTGTCCCTGGGCGACGTAAAGGGTTAAGTGCTAGATGCCAACAACCGAATACTGAGGGGATATGTCCATTGAGGAACAGTTTATGTCAAAGCAATATCTTTTGTAAACCTTTACTGGATTCTCTTTCAACCCACATACTCTTTCTCTCACACACAGAAGAACTGACCAGTCAAAAGAATGTGTCAGGGCTGGTGAGATGGCTCAGCAGGCAAAGGTGCTTGATACCAAGCCTGAGGACCTGAGTTCAATGCCCAGGACCCAGGTAGAAGGAGAGACCCAACTCCTGCAGGGCATCCTCTGACCTTCCAATGCACCTTCCCCACATACAAACAAACAAACAAACAAACAAACAAACAAATAAATGTGTGCTGGTACAATCCTTTAGTCCCAGCACTTGGGAGGCAGAGGCACGAGGATCCCTATGAGTTTGAAGCCAGCCTGATCTACAGATTGAGTTTCAGGACAGCCAGGGCTGTTACAAAGAAAAACCCTGTCTCAAAAAAGGAAACAAACAAAGATACAAACCGAAAGGGTCCTAGCTATAGATGCCCTGACCTTTTACTCAAAAGGCAACCTGGGAATCTTTGTGTCACCAGCTTGACTTTGATAATTCCCGTTGGCAGTCACATATTTCATTCACTTATCCTAATCTTCTCAAACTTTCACCTACTAAATGTGTTCCCGTACTTTGTTTTCCCTTTGGGTTAGTATAAGCAATGTTGCCATAAAGACATTTACACTAGCTGGGTGTGGTGGGACATGCTGTAATGCAGGTACTCAGAAGTCTGAGCAGGGTTGCTATAAGTTTTCAAGGCCAGCCTGGGTTTCATAGTAAAACTGTCTCAAACAAACAAACAAAAAAGGTTTCCAAGGGCATTGGGCTATATGTGATTTCATGTATTTCTGAACTATGGTGAACTGGGGCATTATGGTGGTGGTAGGTGCCTAGGCAGGATATGTGACCCACCCCCAAATGATCCATTTCCTTCAGCTAGACCTACCTTCAGGATTTGGCCACCCCTACCCCCAAAGGTCTATTCACACCTGTATTCAGCAGGGGTTAATCCACTGACTGGTCAGAGCTTGTGTGATCTGTTGGGATCCTCTCATCTCCTGGGCATCGCTCAGCCACCAAGTTGACAAGATGGCCACCCCAGGAAGCAGCTGAAGCCTGTCAGGGCCTCATACTTTCTATTCTATTCAGAGTATGCCTCTTCTCAGGGAACACTAATACTTTAATTACTTCAAAATGCATTCATTTTTTTATATCATTATTTTATTAAAATGTTATCTTTTACACTTTCCCTGTTGATTTCCTTTTTCTATTCTTTTCTTTTGAAATAGGATCTCATTATGTAGCTCTGGCTGTCCTAGAACTCACTATGTAGACCAGGCTGACCTCAAACTCAGAGATCTACTTGTCTCTGCCTTCTGAGTGCTGGGATTAAAGGTATATACTGACACACCCAGATTTTGGTGATTTACTCTTTCTTATTTTTTAATTTTTTAAATTTGCATTGGTGTTTTGCCTGCATGTGTGCCTGTGTGAAGGTGTCAGATATTGGAGTTACAGATAGTCATGAGCTGCCGTGTGGGTGCTGGGAGTTGAACCTGAGTCCTCTAGAAGAGCAGTCAGTACTCTTACCTACTGAACCATCTCTCCAGTCTGGTGATTTATTCTTAAGCAGCATCTCTTCAAATAAGCTTTCAGATTATTTTACTCAGTTAAAAATTGGCTGGGTGTGACAGCACCTTTAATCCAAGCACTTGGGAGGCAGGGGCAGGCGGATCTCTGAGTTACAGGCCAGTGTGTTCTACTTGGTGAGTTCCAGGCCAGCTAGGTGCTCATCCTGAGACCATGTCTATAAAGGAAATCTCTCCATGTTTTCCCCATAACCACTGGAACTTTTTTGGCTTTTCCAGATAGGGTTTCTCTGTGTAGCTTTGTAGACAAGGTTGGCCTCGAACTCACAGAGATCTGCCTGCCTCTGCCTCCCTAGTGCTGGGACTAAAGGCATGAGCCACCATCCCCACCCCACTTTTAGGAAGCACTGGAATTTTTCAGAAGGCAGCTTTCCTTGACAGCTCTGACCCTTTCAGCTTTTGTTTTCTGTTTGCCTGGGGTTTTCACCATTTTCAATTCTGTGAACAAAGAGGGATGTCTACATACACTCGGGGTACCCTGCAAAAACAATCCTTTGGGAAACCATCTATTTACAGGTTCTGTTCTGGCCCAGCCTCCATGGAGACATAGACCCCATCTGTCTACCAGCCAAGGAAGACATCTGTCTCAAATAAAGATCCCTGGCTAAGGTGGAGGGTCATGAGAAGGGGCAACATTGTCCTCCCAGCCCTAGGTTTATCATTGTGTTTTTAAGGGTACATTTTTTTTTTTTTAAATCGGAGAAAAATAAAAGTAATCAGTGATGATTCAGGGCAAATGTAACCCTTATTCCCTCATTGACACAGATCACTTGACAAATGAGTCATGATCACTGGCGAATCATCCACTGCTCATTCTCAGCTTCAGGGGCCATGCCCAAATGTATTTCCAGTTTTGTTTATAACCTTCTGGGAAACACAGACTGCAGATGGTGACTCATGGGGTCCCTGATAGAATCATTCCCGTCCCCAGTGCCATGTGTGTCATTTACAGCGGGAGCTGAAGTGAGTGCATGTTTCTCAAGTCTCTGTGAAATCTAAACCATATGTGGAGACAGTCTTGTCTGTATCAAAGGCAAAGCAACCTGCAGGACTCAGCATCAGGCTAATCCATACACAGGTGCACTGGAAAGTCTGGTGTTAAACCACACAAGATGCTGACCATATGCAAGTAATTAACTGTCTTGGGAGACTCTGGGCCAGCACTGTTAAGAGCAGAGACCTGGGGCTGGAGAGATGGCTCAGCAATTAAGAGCACAGGCTGTTCTTGCACAGGACCCACATGGTGGCTCACCATTGTTCATAATTCCAGTTTCAGGGTATCTGTCACTCTCTTCTGACCTCTGAGGGCACCAGGCACGCATACAATGCATATACACACGTGTAGGCAAAACACTCATACACATAAATAAAAGTAAATAAAATCTTAAAAAGATAGTAAGAGGACCAATGTAGAAGACACTAACGTACTCACTTACTCCAGATGACATCCCCAGGGCTGCTGTGAGGTCCGTATTACACAGTAATCACAATAGACCGTTGGTTATGGGATTCTGGTTCAAACCAGAGGCTCCAATGGTGACTTTTGCTTACTTAAGGCAAGGAGAGTGTGACATTGGACCATGTTCACACCCTTCCTGGCAAAACCCTCCCATGTTCATACCTCTTCCTGGCAAAACCCTCATGATTATTAGGTAAAGTCCAAGAGTCAGGTCATGCCCCAGTGACCCTCTGGTGCCCAGCCCTGTCTCACTCATCATACCTGTCTGTCCCACAGGCAAGTGACTTTGTGGAGACCGGAAGCAGTCCCTCCCCCATCACACAGGCCCAGCCTTGGCTGAGTCCTGCAAGCACCGCCCCCCCCCCAGCAACGCTCTCTGACTGCTTGATCCCACCCAGGTCTTCAGCACTCACCCAGGCCCCTGCAGGGGTGGCCTGCCATTTGCCTTCTGTGTTTGCCTCTGCCTGGGGCCACATGTGAATTTCTCTAAGCAGGAAGAGTCACAGAGACAGCATTCAAACTTCCAGGGCCCATGCCCTTGTCAGGTGTCACACACAGGAGCTTTTAAGCCACTGACTACTTTCCTACCCACAGGTCTCTTTGAAGCCTCTCTTAAAGGTCTCCAAGTGTTTTGTTTCTATGGCAAACTCCTGGCTACCAGGAGCCAAGGAAAAGCTTTAGAACCTTCTTAGTAAATGGATGTGCTGGAGGAGAGGAAGCACACAGGCCTCCAGAGACAGCAGCCCCCACCCCACCCAGTGTTGGGGGCCCTTCAAAGGCAGCTAGCCCTGCTCAGCTGGGAAGGTCACAGCACCAGAGTCCTGGACCAGGTCCCTACTGACGATAGAAGGCAAGTGGATAACAGAGCCATAATTAGGCTAATCTTGGCACGTGGTAGCAGTCATGTTTATTCTACAGTAGTCAAAAGCCACTCACTCCTGCGACTGTCCCACAAGTAAGGTGGGGTGAGAAAACATACCTGCTTCCTTCCTAGTTCTGACGTTAAAACAGAGGACTTGCCGTCCAGTGAGACACCTGTCCCCAGCCCTTCCCCTGCCTTCATGTGTACACTCTGTATGAACAACACAGGTTGCCCCAGAGCCAGGCAAGAGGCCAAACGGCACCAAGTGTTGGAGCCCCTTGGGGAAGCATTTAAGAAAAGAAAACCCAGACAACATAAATATTTAATTAAGTTTGGGAATTCTGGAACTGCAGTCTGATGGAGATAGATGTGCCTCTGAGAGGGTAAAGCATGAAACATTATTTCCTGAAAAAGGAAAATACGACCAAAAAAGATCCTAAAAGGAAGATGCTAGAACAATCAGTCTCTAGCAATCTCTTGGCCCCCATTCTTCTGCCCTCAGGCTCCTAGAGTCACCAGTCTTCAGGCAGATCACGGGATAGCCGCGCGCGTGTGTGTGTGTGTGTGTGTGTGTGTGTAGATCTCTTACCTTCACTATGCTGATAGGCTTTCGGGATAAGTGGAAGCTTGCATATAGTAGAAATGTCAGCATGAAAATGAAGGCCCGGTACCTGGAACACATGTAGTTTACAGGGCATGAGAGGTGTCATCCTGTGTCGTCTGTGTGTTAATCACACACCAATCCCACGTACAATCTCATGACAGTATCAGGACATTAAAACTACTGCTAGTCCTGATTGTTCAAACCAAGACTACTGAAGCCCTGTAGGAGCTGGGGGAAGCCAACATCTGCCCCCCCCACTGCAATACTCTGTCCCAACAACAAATAGTTCTCTAGTGGATTCCACTTGGGGGCTCTATAATTCAAGGCATGTTTCACACCAGTCTGTGCAGTAATAGTGTCAGACCCCATGGGTTGAGGGTTCTATCCCACACACGGCCCCCACTTCTAATGACAAGTAACAAATTGTGGATCCCTGCAGGCCCTGTCTCTCATTCAGTTCATTTGCTTGAGCGACTCTGCCCCCACAGAAACCCTTTCTTGTAGTTGCCACTTACTCCAAAGCCCAGGAAGCCAGCCAGCTTCACAAGAATGAAGACATGCTGAAGAAACACTTGTCTTCCCCTCTCTGACTACAAGACTTTTGAAACGATGAACCCCAAGAAGTGAGAATCTCCCTAGGATGCTCACATCTGGAGAAGAGAAGGGCTAACGCCTTAGGGAAGAGATCTTCAGGGAGAGGTGGTTCTGTGAATGAAAGTGCTTGCTACCCAGCCCGACACCCTGAATTTGAACACTAGAACACACAGATCGGAAGGAGAGACTCCATTCCTGGAAGCTTGTACTCTGACCCTTCCACAATTCACCATGATAGATGCATATCCACAACCATAGACACATAAACAAAATGAATAAGCAGGCTTAAAAAAAAAATCAGAGGCCCAAACCAACATTTCCAGACTCAAACGGAGAAAGTAGGGTGGTGGCTCTGTAACAAAGAGCTGAAATGTAGAAACTGGCTTCGGAATAGGGAATTGTCTGAGCTCTCTCCTCCCTGGGGAAGCCTGAGTGGAAAGTCCATGGGACACTCTGTCCAAGCCCATAAGGTGAGCAGAAGAAAGCAAAGCTATGAAATGTAAACAGAGTTCATCCCAGCACTCAGGAGACAGAGCTGGGCCTGCCCTGCAGGGGGCGTGAGGGGTCTTAAATCTCTGAAAGCCTGGGGCAGAACAGAATAGAAGGTTCTCTCCATTCTTTGGCTGAAGCTGCTACATGGCCCATCCCCTGAGCCCGAGGCTGGATAGAATAGTCAGTCACCCACTGACCTCTTAGACAGGCTCCTTCCAAGACTGTCTTCTAGCGCACAGGGCAGGGCAGCTGGGGCATGGGTTTCCCTCCAGAGCCTCTCAGTTTGACCCAGGAGCCTGGGCTATCTTGCAGTGGCCACTCAGGACTGCCAGCTAAGACTTTAGGAGTAGAGGGATGGCTCAGTGGCCTCAGGCTCTGTCTCCTATATTGATGATGAAAGCTGAGGAGGGCCCAGCCCTGACATTCCACATTCCTCACAGTCTCAGCAGGGTTCAGTCAAGGAGACAGGGGAATGAGGTGGTGAGGTGTCAGTAGCCTTGGGCCCTACTTTCCACCAGGCCCTTCCTCAGGTGGCTGGCAAAGATGCATGCAGGCAAAGGGGCTCTTCAGGACAGCCCCTCATTATGGCTGGTGAAGCCATAAATGGACCCTTCAGGAAGAGAGAGCCTGGGGGAGGCAGGGCTCACAAGCCTCCTCCTGTGGGTTGGAGTCAAAGGTCAATGAAGAGTAGGATTTCCCTGAGGCAGAAAAGGAAGCCTTTATCTGTGAGTGCCGGGCCCAGCCTACTTCCTCCATTTCCAAAGTCATACTTTTTCCTTTGGCCTTAGCTTCCTAGAGGATTGGGTGAGGGACAGGCAGTAGCTGCAGACTGTCTTTCCACGTCCAGGAGGGTCTGCAGGTAATAGCAGCTCTCAGCTAGTGGCCACCATCTATCTGCCCTGCTTGGCCTCTGGGAGAAAAGCGTCCCATGCTTTCACAGAATTGCAATCCTGGTCTATGTGACTGAGGGGTCTCTCAGGATCCCTCTGGATCTCTTGTTGTACTTGGTATCTTTGTCACCCACCATTCTCTTCTCCAAGCTGGACAGGAGCAGGGAGGGGTTCTGAACTTCAGTGTATTCAGAAATAATGTCCTGAAGATGTCACGAGTTAGTATGAGGTCTTGTCAGGTTAGGATGGCCCTAAACCAAAGACTGGTGTCCTCCTGAGAAAAGAAGATGCTGGGAGTGGTGGGACATCAAGCACTCAACATAAAAGGGGAGAAGAGCTGAGGACTCAGCTCAGTGCTAGGGTGCTTGTCTAGCACGCGCAGGGTCCTGGGTTCAATCCCAGCAGCACAAAAATAAAACAAAAAGAGAAAAGGTAAGTTTTTCCTTCCTGACAGATTAGGAGTCTAAACAATGTCTGAGATGTCACCATCAAAGCATAGGACTCTTGAGGGCTCCAGGTAACAGCACCCACCACGAAACAACTATGAGAAAGCCTGATACCTATGTTCCATAATGAAATATGGGGGGAAAGTCACCCAGTGCCCCATCACTCTGCCCCATACATCACCATCCAGAGGACAGACTACCACCAGACCTTACCACTGATCCCTGGAGAAGGAGATGATGAAGCGGATGCCCACGGGGAGTCGAGCCATTTACGTCACCCCTGACCTTGGAGCTCCAGTCCCGAAACCAGATGCTTCCAGAAACAAGTTAAGGTTGTTCTTTTGTACAGCCCTTCAGTTCACACAGTCTGGAAAGCAACAGCAAACGGGTCCTAATGGGTCCTTTCCCCTCTTCCTTCCATCAGTGTTGGCCCAGCTCTATCAGAGAAAGAGAGGCATTAAGAATCTGTGGTCCATGGGGCTGGAGAGATGGCTCAGAGGTTAAGAGCATTGGCTGCTCTTCCAGAGGTCCTGAATTCAATTTTCAGCAACCACATGGTGGCTCACAACCATCTGTAATGAGATCTGATGCCCTTTTCTGAACAGCAGGCATACATGCCAATAGAACACTATGTACATAATAAATAAGCATATCTTTAAAAAAAAATATGTGGCCCTAGCCAGGAGTTGGTGGCACACACCTTTAATCCCAGCATTGGGTAGGCAGAGGCAGGCGGATCTCTGTGAGTTTGAGTCTAGTCTGGTCTGATGATAGTATCTAGGAGACACTGGCAGGCAGAAGTCATTGCATAGATGGGAAGATGCCATCCACAACTGATCAAGGCACACTCTGATACCAGGGGATGCCCTGGGAAGGATTGCTCAAATGAAGTTCACATGATGCTCTGATGATTCCTGAAGGAAAGTGGGCACTCATCTCCGCCTTTGGGGCTTCCAGACTGCCAGTCTGCCCCAAAGCATATGTCAATTATCAGAGCATGGGGTGAGGGTGGGCACTGGACTTGTTGGCTCCATTACTACTCCCTAGGCCACCTGTGAGCCTCAGCAAGAGAGGATTGTAGACTTGGGGAAAAGGATAGAAGGGATCAATCATCACTCATTTAGGCTGTGGGTCTTCAATTGAGCCTGCAACTGGAGGCTGGGCTGAAAAAGGCCAATGCTGGGAGGGACGGAACAAAGCCAGAGAGCTGATAAGGGGCCCAGTACTGGCTGAGGTAGGCAGGTCTACAAGCCTGAGCCCCACAACACCCTCAGCACATAAGTTCCAAAGTGGAATCTACTTCCCCACCCATGGGCTTTCAACAGACAAATATCCTGGGCTGGGGGTGTAGCTCAGGAGTTTACATGCACATGACCAACAACCTCGAAGAGAGTTTAGCCCAGAACCCAGCCCCAGAACCCTCATGGAGGTGTGGAGGACCTTTTGACCTCAGACAGGAGAGCTTTTCCTTCCCCAGGGCACCACAGGGAGTTAGCAAATGTTACTCATTCCTGACCCTACACCGACCTGCAGTGAGTAAGCCCAGGCCACTAGCCAGTTTGCTGCTCCCTTAACTTCTCCAGCTAAAAAGAAGGTGATGGCCTAATGACATCAACAATGTTACACAAAGACATGATCTCAGGAAGGCCTTGGCAGAGGGCCTGGCATACAGCAGACAGTCCATTAATACTGGTGTGGGTGTTCTGTGGGTGAGCTTCCGGGAGGGCAGGGTTTCCCTGTCCTATAGTCTAGCATAGAACAAGAGCAAGGGGCTTGGTTGGAGCCAGCCTGGTGGCTTATGCCTGTAAACCCGGCACTCAAGAGACTGAGGCAGGAGGACCATTTTGAGTTGGAGACCAGCCAGGGTTACCTAGTGAGTACCAGGCCAGCTAGAGCTTTGTAGCAAGATCCTGCCTCTAGATTAAACCAAAAGTTTTGGGACTTTTGCTCAAATCTCCATATTTAAATGGTATCTTTCAAAAAAGGTTCATTCAAAATGAGTTCTTTAGGTTTGCTCCTACATATGCTTCAAGTGTACTTGTGAAATAAATCTGTGATGATAGCTTTGGGTTAAAGGATTTGGTTTCAACTATTTGAGGCTTGAAAATGGACAGCCAGGGTCTAACTTTTTTCCTCTACCAAAATACCCCCTGCTACCAGTGAAATCTGTCACCCAGCAAAATCTGGCCAACAGCAAAGCTCCAGAAGGCCTAAAAAGTTACCAGAAAGAAAAAAACAAAAACAAAAACAAAACTTCTAACTTCTCCCACTAATAATTAATGCCAGTGATTTTCCCTGGTGTGTGTGTGTGTGTGTGTGTGTGTGTATGTGCACTATTCATTCCCACAGGAAGTGTATCTTAGGGTGGACAAATATTGATTCCACATATAGGGTGCTGACAACTCAGCTTACCAAAGCCCCCAAATCTGTTCCCTCAAAATCCCAGGCTGTTGGCACACCCCACTGGAGCCCAAGGCACAGCTTTCACTCTTAAGACAGCGGTTCTCAGCCTCTGGGTTGCAACCCAAAAGGGGTCACCTATCAGATATTTACATTGTGATACATAACAGTAGCAAAATTATAGTTATGAAGTAGCAACAAAATAATTTTATAGTTGGGGGGGTCACCACAACATGAGGAACTGTGTTACAGGGTCTCTGCTTTAAGAAGGTTGAGAACCACTGCTCTGAGAGATGAGGCTAGCCCAGCTAGGTGGGCTTCACATCAAGACAAAACCCAGGCCTTCCATTGGCCTGGGGGTACCTTCTCAGGCATAAGCACATTACTCCCTGCCTGTCCCTGCATAGAAGCCGAGCAGGAGGCCTGGCCGAATGGCTTTGGCATACAGCCTAAGCACATGAAAGTAGTTTTTAAATGTCACCTCTTAGGAGCTCCCAGTGAATTTCAGCCCATTAAAGAAAAGGATAAGAAGGCAGTGTTATTGGACAGGGAAGAACAATTAGGAGCTATTGCACTGTAACACAGCACCCCTACCAGGCTCTGAAGAACATAAGGCTAGCCCTTCCCACGGAGCCTGGCCACCTACACGATCTGCCCTTCCAGCCCCAGGGCTCTCTGAGCCACTCAGAACAGTGTCCATCCACTCTAGAGAGAGACTCAGAAAGAGTAAAACCTCCAGGGTATTTCCCAGGCTTTAGCACATAGACAAAAATCATAGCACCCTAAGGCAACTCGTCAAAAGTAGAGCATATTTAAGGACAAACCTGAGAACCAAATAACTCCCTCCAAAAGTTTCATGAGTATTTGTTTTAAACCATGACAAAATATAACCTTTCCAATCAAGCACTCTCTAAGTTTTTAAAGGCTCCCTTTCCCAAGGGAGGCAAACAGAAATGGCCATTTTCACTTGTCCTGGGCTTAAATACAAGAAGTCAGAATTCTGTCCACCACCACTCCTAGCCCATTCACAACATCCCAGGTGTTACCCATGGAATTGGACCTGTAAATGTACTCCCAAGACCTCAGGGTGCAAACCGGATCCTCCAAGATCGGGGAATTCCAGGTGTCCTCTAACCAAATATGAATACTGAAATCAATGCGCAAAGCCCATCTATTTACCAATTCGTCCAACTTCACGCAATTTAAGTTCCGGGGCTGGCAGACCGGCAGGCAGGCAGCGACCAGTCAGGTACAGAAAGCTCCGAAGACCAGAAAAGGCAGTTTAGGAATGCAAACCTAGAGGTGGGGAAGGTTTCTTAGTTCAAATGTAAATCTTTACCTGCCGGTCACCAAAATCCCAGGGTGAACCCCGAGTGCTGGGAGATTGGTGCATGCGCCTGGGGCACTTTCCGGTGATTTAAACCTTTTATTACCGCCAGAAGGTTGGCTGTCACAGCGTTGGCCACAGAGCCCGGGCTCCAGGAAGCAGTTCTTCAGCAAACAAACAACCCGAGAACCCAGGGTGCTGGCTGAGAGCTTTCCCAAGGGCTTTGCGAGTCGGCTCCTCCCCGGTCGAACAGCCTCCTGGCTCGGTGGCGAATACTACGGGCACGCCCACGTCCCCAAAGCGCGGCTGTAGACAAAGCGCTAGGTCTCCAGCAGCCGACTCCCCACAGCTGTCACCACGGCCCGGGACTGGGAGGGGACCCGGCACCACAGCTAGGAGATTCCAGCCTCGGGCCTTGGGGAGCCCTTCTGCTTCCACTTCCCCGGGAACTCAGCGTCGCCAGCACGGGATCACCCGGCACTGTTGCCTAAAGCCACTCTAGGATCCCTTCAAAGACTTCCCTCTAGGAAAAGCGCTCGGCTAATCTCCGGTTCTTCAGCCACAGCAGTTGGAGACAAACGGCGGAAAGGACGAAGAGGGGGCGCAGGGCGCGGGCCCGCTAGCAGGTGCGCAGCCGCTGGCAGGTGCGCGCCACTGGGGAGGGTCCTCTGTCGCCTCCCCGCCTACCTGCGCTCGGCAGCCGGCGGGCAAGCACGTTTCCTGCTCTCGACTTCCTGGAGGGCCGCCCTTTCACTTTCTCAGCCCTGCGGGAGCCGGTCCTAAACAGCTCCTCCCTCTCCCGCGCGCCCCCTGACCCCAGCCCCGCGCGCGCGACCAGGGGCCCAGACAATCCAGGGATGCTCAGCTGGGGCATCCACTAGTGGTCCCTGAGTCCCCACACCTGCCTGTCATGCCCTCCCAGGCCCCGCAGGGTGCTGGGCGCTCATTAGAATGATGCCCAGCAGCCAATTGCTGGCTCCTAGGGGCTTTTGTCCCCAAAACGGATCTTAATAATGCCAGCAAAATAGACAAGTTCCGAGAGAAAGATTTGCTCTCTCTAGGCCTACCACATTTTGTCAAGTGTCAGAAACAAGAACACTGGCATGCTACAAATGAAGCAGGCTGGTACTGCACCTGTGCCAGTGTCGTTAGGCCCAGAAGGCCAGCATCCGGGTCATGTGTCCTAGCTTTCTTTTTACCCCTGGATAATTACCTTTTACACCCCTCACCTCCTGTTAAGAATTGACCCTGAAGTTAGGGAAGGCCTGGTTATTTCCAAAGAGCACCTGCCTCATACCTTCCGCTGACAGCCTGGCCTAGCATCCAAGGCCAGTTTTCCTCCTGATCAACCCCCCCCCCCCCCCGCCACTCCCCGCTCTCAGAACAAACAGCACCTGCCTGGAACGGCAAAACCAGGCAGGAACCCAACTTCCTAGGAACAACCAGGCATCTGGGTAAAACCATGCTTAAACCAAAACCAACCTGAATACCTGCTATGAAAGTCTAATGTATGGACTGCCACCTTCCCACCCACTGCACCTAGTGCCCTGCAGCGCCCTCTTCTGGCTGGCTGGTGTGTGTAGAAAGCAGCTTTACCCTTGGGGTCCCTCAGTTTGCTGAGTTGGGTAGGGCCAAGCCGCCCTCTACTTATGGGCATTTGGGAAGTGTTCTGTACCCTCGAAGCTCAGTTGACTTACTGTTTGAGCTACCTGCACCTTGCAGTTCCACACCACGCATGGGAAGTGACCCGGGAACTCTGGCTGCTCTACTCTCTTTCCTTGGGCTGGATGTTTCCTTACCTCTTCCTAACTCTCCATCCTTTGTGAGCACTGTAGCAGCTCAGGTGGACTCCTACATCCTGTCAAGTCGTCTCTCGGTGCTTCAGTCATCGAGCTTGTTCAAGAGTCCCTTTCTCTTCTGCCGGTATTCCATCTTTACAGCTGTGTCAAACTGCCCTCCTCAAGCAAAATCTGAGCTCCCCAGTTTGATTGACAACCTTTCTAAGGGAGGCCCTTCACTGCAACAAAGAAGGCCAACTCCTGAGATGGTGGAGACAGGGCCCCCAGGCCTTTGCACAGCTGAAGGACCTCATGCCAAAGCCAGCGAGTTTTTCGGTTCCCAAGATTGTGACTTTTCACACTGGGATGTTGGGATTTGTCTTTCCTGAGTCCAGGATTCTTGAGTGAGCTCAGACTCCCTGTATTTGTAAGCTCTGTATGAAATGCTCAAGTCCCAGTGACACCAGTCTACCTCCGGCCCCTAGGAGGCACAGATCAGAAAGCCTCTCTAAGACTCAAGGCATGACCGTTTTAGATGTTTTTTTTTTTTTTTTTTTTTTTTTTGTTTTACAGTTTTGTTTTCCTTACCAAAAAAATAAAAACCTTTGCACAGATACTGGACTCAACCAGAGGGAGTCTGGTGGCCTATATAGAATATTTGCTAAAAATGTTAATCTTAGAAAGGTAAGTTAATGTTTCATAATATATATTTTATATTGATCTTTTATATGACTATAAAAACACTCAATTGTAGGGAGAAGGGATGTGTGCGTAAAACTTCAAAATAAATCTTTCTGTATTTTGAAATGGAAATTGGATGGCAGGTTTTATGCTTGAGGCTATGGCAAAGGATTGCACATCCCCACCATGAAGACTAACTTGTAATCCATGGTCCTCTTGCCCTGTTCTCCTGAATGCTGGGATTGCAGGTGTACCCCACTATGACTGGCTCCCTCTGCTCCCTAGAACCCAGAACCTTGCACAAAATAGGTGCATGCTGTATCACTGAGCTACACCGCAGTCCTGGAAGTTATTTTAAAATCAAATTGAAAGGAAACAGTAATGGAAAGACAAAGACAGGGAAGGAAATAAAGGAGTTTGTGTTTGTCCTAGGCAGTGGCTTTTTAGTGATAGCAGTGTAGGCACTAATATAATTAGGGATGAAGTTAAGAGAAAAGAGATTTGCAAGTGTCTTGAACTAGTTGGTACTCAACCATCTATCTATCTATCTATCTATCTATCTATCTATCTATCTATCATCTATCTATCTATTTATCTATGTATCATCTATTTATCATGTTTTCCTGAGATAGGCTTTCCTCTGTATAATAGCCCTGGCAGTCCTGGAACTCACAAAGATCCTGGGATTAAAGGCATGTGCCACTATTACTCTTGGCTTAAAACGTGCATTTACATGAGTGGGAGGCAGAGGCAGGCAGATCTCTTAGAGTTTGAGGACAGCCTGATCTACAGAGCAAGTTCTAGGACAGCCAATGCTACACAGAGAAACACTATCTCAAAACAAACAAACAAGCAAACAAAAAAATGGCCTGTAGAAGACAGGTTGGGCAAATGTTCTTGTTCTTCTTGCATCTAAGACCCCTTAGCAATGTCCTCCAGCAAAATATCTTAATTGTTTTTCTCTTATCTGTAGGGTATGGGAAATGGTCACATTTCCAGGGGCAGGGGGCTGCCTGGATCCTAAATGGAGCAGGGCTTGTATAAAGTCTGGAATCAGATTTGGGAGCTCTTAGACATTCTCTGCAGCTGAGCTCTTCTTCTCCAGGGCTAGCCTGTAGCTGCATTCATCTGCTGTAGATTTCCCTGCATTTTTAAGCTTATAGTTGGAAGGAGGCCAGATACTTAGGAACAGAAAACTGACCTCTAGAGTCATTGTTGCCACAGAGCTGGTGCAGATGAATGTGACAAGCAAATTGGACAGGTTTTGCAAGATGTCCCCAAAAAGATCAATAACCTTCAACTGTGGTTTAGTAAACCATGTGGCTCAAATCAAGAGATTATGCTTTGATGGTTCCCTCTGGGCCTATATTTTGATGACTTATGCACAGGGAGTCCTTTTACTGCATAGGATATGCTAATGCCTTGGTGGGGAAGTACAGTGACTCACATCTTTCTCAAACCCAAGTGGTCTCACTAGAATTTCTGGCCTACGAGGAGTCTGGAAAAAGGAGATTTCAGAGGAAGCTCTATGTTTCACCTGCTGAAACTACCCTACCCCATAGTAGGTGGCTATCACCAGCCTCACAGCCATGCAGTATACTCTGTATTCATGGTGGTCATGGTGGTCACGGGAGGGTTTGGGTCCTGGGCTTGTCTGAGCAACAGTTCCTTCCCACTTTGATTATTGCTTCAACTTACTTCTGCAACTGAGAGCCTTCCCTTTTAACCCTTTAATGGAAACCCTCTGTAACAACAGCCTTGCCTAACTCCTTGACAAATGCTCTCTTTTTACCATCACCCAAGTTCATCCTTTCTGAATATTGTGATTCTAGCATGTGGTGGTCCAGAAGAGGAGGCATGGGATTTGGGATCTGAATGTCTTCAACTCAAACCTTGACTCCAAACTTCCTGGGACCCCGTGGAGGCCACTTTATTCTGTGCTTATGGGATTGATGTGGGGATGGATGAAGGAAGGTGTTTGAAGACACAGTTCTCACTTGTTCAATTCATCTGTGAATCCCCTAGCTCTGTGCTTGGCACACTCCAGAAGCTTAAGAAACCCTGGTTTCTATGGGAACAGTGAGTCAGCTTTAAATGCTTATGGCTGTCCTAAGGACTGGGAAACAGGTCTGTGTGATAAGTTCAGGAGACATGTAACTAACTGGGATGGGTGTGTGTGCGTGTGGAAATTCCATAGTCTATTTCATCCTCTCATTTTGTTAAAATTTCCATAAAGTAGAGTTTGAGCCTCCCTCCCACCACCTTCAATAAGTCCGGACAATGAGGTTTTGGTTCTTTGCACAGTTCTGATGCAGCGTTTCTTATCCAGCCTTCTGAGACAAATGAATGAACTGTCCAAGGGTTCACATCTATAATCCCAGCAATCAGGAAAGCTGAAGCAGGAAAACTACCATGAGTTTTGAGGTCATCTTTGGCTACAATGTGGAACCTTGCCTCAAAAAGAAAAAACAAAAAACCCCAAAAAACAAAAAACCAATAAACCCAAACCCCACAAGGCCACTTTCCATTGGGGCATATCCACCCTGAGCCAGGCTAAGGAGGCCAGCACCCACAGCCACCCCATGCATACTCAAAATCACGACTCTGCCCACACTTGCACTTGCCATGTCACACTGGGAGCATCTTTAAGCCCCCCACTCCCAGTTAGCTCTCTTTACCCTGTGCTAATGGATCAGATGTAAATTTTCAGCCCCTGCTCCTGTGCCATGCCCCCCCTACCAGGATGATCATTAAATCCTTGATTTCCCCACATTAAATGTTTGGTCATTTTTTATCTTTGTAATTATTTTTTGTCATGGCTCTCTTACCTAGTAGGTCAGCAAAGAAGAAGAAATAAAAAGGACCTCTCTAGAAAGCAGTGAGGCACACTCTGTGGTAGGAGTGGGGATGGGCTTTGCCATCCCAGGGACCAATGAAGTAACGGTATTTAGAACCCGTGATAGTTCATCTTCATCAGCTTGCCTGGGTTTGAAATCATCTAGGAGACATGCCTCTCAGCTGTGCGGGTGTTTCCAGGC